GAAGAAGATCTGGCGCGACGCGAAGCAGACGAACTTCGCCTACGGAGTCTTGCGGAGTCACGCGGGACATTCGCCTGGAGCGGCTGGGGCGACAACGAGGGCGCCTCCAATGAAGGGGGGTGGGGAAGCGCTGGCGGATGGGGCACGAGCGATACTGGCGGTGCCACCGGCGGATGGGGAGCCGCAACTGGCGACTGGGAACCAGACACCGGCGGTAACCCTGGCGGATGGGGCGTCGCATCTGGCGGCGAGACGAGCGGTTGGGGAGCCTTCCGCGAGGACCAAAGGGGGGAAGAGGAAACCATTGGGGAGGTCACTGAGACCGAACCTCCTGTGGTCCCTCTCGGTCGTCCCCCGCGTCGCCCTACTCCTGCACTTCCCCCTGCAGACATCCCGCCAGGAAGTGACCCTTGGGACACCATCGACTGGGGCAACGAACCGTCAACCCCGCGCCGCACTGTCTACGGACCCGCTCCCGAGCCGCGCGAACCCACCTTCGTCCTTGGAACCATCCCTGGGACCAATATCCCTCTCTCTGAGATTCGTGACCGAGAGTTTCTGGCGCTAATGATGACCACCGCCAACGAAGGAGAAGAAGAAGCAGCAGAAGCAGCAGCAGCAGAACCTGCCCCTGTGTCTGACGAAGACCCTGAGGAAGCTCGCGCGCGCTACATGCGCACCTCCGGCTTTCGCGCTGATGATGCCCTCTGGCACCAGCGCCTCGGACATCCTTCACGCGCGACGCTGAAAAACTGCATCGACGCTGGCGTCTTCGCTTCAGGAGCGCTCCTGCGCCCAGACGGCACCGAAGTAAGAAGCACGACGCATCCGCGCACCTGCACCATCTGCCCCACAGCCGCGCTCAGTCATCAGCCGTTCCCGCTCCTCGAGCCAGGGACAAACCGCTACCCCAAGCTGCACAAGGTGTACAGCGATTTCCTGAACGTAGGCCACTGCGGAGTCGATGACGAGCTGTACACGCTTACCTTCATCAACGCTGGAACACGCTATGTGTGGGTCGTGAACGTCGAAACCCGCGACAGAGCCTACGAGGTGTTCCGCCTCTGGCTGGCGCACGCGCAGCGGCAATCTGGTGAGAAGCTGAAAATCTGGCAATCTGACGGCGCAAAGGAGTTCAGGAGCAACCAGATGCAGAATTACCTCGCGCAAAAGGGGATCGAGCACCACATTTCTCTCCCCTACGCACACCTGCAGCAGGGCGTAGCCGAACGGACGAACCGCACGCTGATGACGAAGGTGCGGGCACTGATGATGCAGTCGAAGCTGCCGCCGATTTACTGGACCTACGCAATGCACCACGCCGTGCGGGTGCATAACCTGCTTTCAACCACTGCCATCACCGGCAATCTGTCCCCGCATGTCAAATGGACTGGAACGAAGGGGGATACATCGATGCTCCGCGTGTGGGGGTGCATGGTTCAATACCGCCCGCCGACATCAACCATCGGCAAATTCGCCAGCCGCGCGCGTTGGGGCATTCATCTCGGCATCAGTCACGAGTACAAAGCGTGGATCGTGCTAGACCTCCTCAGTCAGAAAACCGCCCACGCTCGCGACGTGATCTTCTACGAACGCCTTTTCCTCGAGCAGTTCCGCCACGACGAACAGACGAACGCAAATCGCGTCTACGCGAATGACGGTCACAGCTACGCAACTCCCGAAGACGAAGCCGCTGCAGCAATCCTGGAGCAGGACACTAGGGGCGAGTTCGCATGGGAAGATCGGCGCAGCAGCGACGACGACGACGACGATTCCTCAGGAGGAGGAATGGGCGGAACAGGCGGAAGCGGCAGAGGCGCAGCACCACCAGCGTTACCTGAACCAGAGAGCGATGACGACGACGTGCAGGAAGTCATCCCGCAACGTCGCCACGACAGCACCGTTTCAGGACTGCAGCTGCTGGGGCTTCACACAGCAACCTCGAAGGCGCCACGTGTCATCGAGCCCCGAAACCCGCGCGAAGCTCTCTCTGGACCACACAGCAAGGAATGGCGCGAGGCGATGGACGCGGAAATCAAGGCGCTCGAGTCCCGAGACACCTGGGTGTTAGTCGACCGTGCGGCAATCAAAGGCGCCAGGGTCCTCTCGGGCAAATGGGTCTTCCGCGTGAAGACCGCTGCGGATGGAACGATCGAGCGCTTCAAGGCGCGTTGGGTGGTGCGCGGCTATGACCAGAGGCATGGCATCGACTTCGACCAGACGTTCGCTCCAATCAGCCGCCACACCTCCGTTCGTATCCTACTCGCCATCACAGCTGCAAGGCACCTGCCACTCCGCCAGATCGATGTGAAGAACGCGTTCTTGTACGCGTTAGTGGACGCCGTGATCTACGTAGAGCAGCCACACGCATACGGCGAAGGGGACTCACGCGTGTGTCAACTGCGCAAGTCGCTCTACGGAATCAAGCAGGCACCGAGGCTGTGGCAGCAATATCTGCACAACATCCTGCTTGAAATCGGGTTCAAGCAGATGCCGCACGATCCAGGAATGTACCGCCGCGATTTCCGCGGGGAATAAATTCTCCTCACGGTTTACGTCGACGACCTGCTCTACACAGGCTCAAACAACGAGCTACTCGAGCAGTTCGAGAAGGCCTTGGCGGGGCGCGTCGATATCACATGCAACTACGAAGTGAAGCAGTTCTTGGGCCTCAACATCTCCTACACACCTGAGGCCATTCACCTTTCAGCAGCTAAGTACGCAGAGGAGTTAGGGAAGCGGTTCAACATGTCACCTGCACCTCTCTCAACTCCCTACCGAACTCCTGGACCGAACCACAAACCCGACAACAAAGCCCTATCCCCTGCTGGAATTCAGACTTACCAGCAGCAGTTGGGATGCCTGCTCTTCGCCTCTGTCACCTGCAGGCCAGATTTCTCCTACGTCGCAAGTCAGCTGGCCCAGTACTCACGCAAACCAACGGCTGAGAATCTTCTAGACCTGCAGCGCGCCCTACAGTTCTTCGTTTCAACGCCTAAGATTGGGCTGTGCTACTCAACTGCACCAACCTCATCCTTCAATCTCATCGGATATGTGGACGCCGATCATGCAGCAGATCCCGATAATCGACGGTCCATGACTGGCTTCCTGTTCCGACTCGAGCCAACGGGACCAATCTCCTGGAACTCGCAGAAGCAGGAGCTGGTTGCCCTGTCATCAGCCGAAGCAGAATTCATCGCAGCTACCGCAGCAGTTCGCGAAGGCCTCTACTTGCAGGAACTCCTGCAGGAAGCGAAAATTCCAGCTTCGCCCACCTTTCGTCTTCACTGTGACAACCAGAGCGCGATTCGCATCGCAAACAAACCTGGTTTCGTCAACCGCACCAAGCACATTGCGCTGCGGTATTTCTTCATAAAGGACGAGGTGGACAAGGGCAAGGTCAACTTGACCTATTGCCCGACCGTTGACATGGCAGTAGACTTCCTCACCAAGCGACTGCCACGCCAGCAGTACCAGCACTGCTCCGAACTCAGTGGCGTGGTCAAACAGGTCAAGTCGAGCTACGGCCAGGAGTGAAGGGGGGTGTTACGAATAGTACTGAATGAAGATTCATTGTACACTCCCGACCGCAGCTAAGGAAGCATGCAGTATCGAGAATGAATACGAAGAGTCAGAGTTGACTCTAAGCGTCAGACGGTTGAGGCGCATCTGGACCGTCGGAGCAGATGGCATCGGGCAGCTGCAGGCAGGAGGGTTCTGGCGGGAACAGTTTCGTAACTGTACGCGCCGCACGGTTGGGAATGAATTTGAATAAGGGAATGTACCCCTTAGAGTACATGGCTAGCTAGGTCGATTCGTCTTCCCTGTACTCATATTTATATTTGCTGTATTTGCATGTTTTAATCATCTCAAGCATTTTACATTCACTCTGCTATTGAGGTCAGGGCCCACCACCGCTAAACGAGAAGTGTGCGAACCTTCCTGAGGTGATCCTGAGGACGATCAACTTTTCGATCGCAACACCACTTAAAGCGACGGGCAACTTTTGGCAGTGTTGGGTTCAGAAGTTTTTCTTTTTAACCAGGCTTGCCAGCGCGAAAGTGCTGGCTGGCGAAAACCAGGATTTCGTGCGGACACTTTCCATCCGCAGTAACAGTTCGCCAGGGTTCTGGGTTTTGGGTGGCAAATGTGCACCGTCGCTTTAACAAACGTATTCCGGAATGCACACCGGCCTTAACCATGCACTCTACAGTTGAGGCATATTTACCTTCCCTATCTCTGGCCCCCTTGCTTCCTTTCACGTGAGCTTGTCTCAGTCAGTCATCAGTAAAACACTCTGGTTTCTGTTCTGTGCATTTCGTTAATTACCTTACCGCCGCACATCCACCTCTCAGCTCCCTGCTGACCCCCCTCCTCCCTTCCACCACCACCAGCGCAGGCAGCAGACAGGTCAGTCAGTAGCAGCTCTTTCACCCGCCTCTCACTCTCACCTCGTCTTCCCTCTCCCTCTGCTCCAGAGTAGTACCCAGCCCGACAGCATTCGCCAAGTGCAGGCAAATTCCAGGAAAAGACTCGCCCCTCCTAAGCTACCCCCATCCCTCTCGGTCCCCCTCACCCCTTCCAGCTATCCCCCTGTGACGTTCCACCAAAGCCTTTGCACCCACGCGGCTCTCCTGCCCTCAACAGCAGCCGGGCTGGGGGCACCCCGCAGGCAGGGGCAGGCGCAGGTTGCCGGAGGTGCGGAAGGTGCGAGGAACCATCCTGTCGACGTAGATTAGCCCTGTCAGGTGGTCACACTCGTGCTGGTGGTGGCGTGGCGCAGCCGTAGCGGGTACAGGGGGGTGGGGGGCACGTGAAAATCTGTGCATGTGAGGGAGTAGGTCAATGAAGACAGAAGCATGTGACTTTCATGATGGGGAAGAGGAAGCGATAGGGGAAAAGAGAAAAGGAAGCTGCAGAGAGAGAGGTTATGAAGTGAGAGCACGAGAGCTGCTCCGAAACAAGGTCCTCCACACAGTGCCTTCCTGAAACGGTCAGCATCAGCCTATCCGCCTCCACCAGAGCACCAGGCGCGGCAGTGGTCTCACCTGCAGGATCCGGGCCTGCCAGCCCGTGGCGTGCACCGTGATGGGCTTGCCGTCCCTCGCCAGCCCTGACACCTCCACCTCTCTGTACCGCTCCACCATGGCCCGGTACCCATTCACACTGCCGCGCATACAGATGGGCAATGGCACGCGCAGAGGACGGAAGGCGTGGGGAGACGGGTGAGACTCGACTTGGTGACGGCAGTAATGCAGGGTAGGAGGGAGGGAGGGAGAGAAGGAAGGAGAGAGGGAGGGAGGGAGGGAGGGAGGGAGGGAGGGAGGGAGGGAGGGAGGGAGGGAGGGAGGGAGGGAGGGAGGGAGGGAGGGAGGGAAGGAGAGAGGGAGGGAGGGAGGGAGGGAGGGAGGGAGGGAGGGAGGGAGGGAGGGAGGGGGGAGGGAGGGGGGAGGGGAGGGAGGGAGGGGGAAGGGAGGGGGGAGGGGAGGGAGGGATGGGGGAAGGAGGGAGGGGGAGGGAGGGAGGGAGGGAGGGAGGGAGGGAGGGAGGGAGGGAGGGAGGGAGGGAGGGAGGGAGGGAGGGAGGGAGGGAGGGAGGGAGGGAGGGAGGGAGGGAGGAGGGAGGGAGGGAAGGAGGGAGGGAGGGAGGGAGGGAGGGAGGGAGGGAGGGAGGGAGGGAGGGAGGAGGGAGGGAGGGAGGGAGGGAGGGGGGAGGGAGGGGGGAGGGGAGGGAGGGAGGGGGAAGGGAGGGGGGAGGGGAGGGAGGGAGGGGGGGAAGGAGGGAGGGGGGAGGGAGGGAGGGAGGGAGGGGGGAGGGCACCTGAGGCATCCTTCAAAGAAGCGGGCCTTGGTGTCGCCCACTGGTTTGAGCACGGGGTTGATGATCACCTGCCATTGGCGCGCAGTGCAGTGCAGCAAGAGGTGGAGAGATGGGAGAAGAAGAGAGGAAGAATGCACAGTGGTGTCGAGAGGCGGCAATGCAGCCCGACACAGGCAGGCAGGCAGGCAGACGTGATCAGGGCGAAGAGATGCAGTAGCCAGCACGGAGTGGGCCATTCGTTTCATTCCATCTTGCTGTTCAATGCCCACTCGTTGATTCCCTTAGAAATGAAGCACCAGATATTTCATGCCAAGGCAGTCGGTCGTTCGTCAATTCAATCCCCCATTCTGTTTATTCACTGACTCAACACCCACTGACTCGCTCATGCAGTCAACCATGCAAGAACCAACTGCACGCGTACCAGCAGGTTGAAGGGTTGGCGCTCCTGCAGCTTCACTTCCTCGGGGTCGCATGCCTTCATGAGCTCCACCGTGTCCTCCAACACGATGATCTGCGCGCGCATAAGCGCACACAGTCACAGGCCGAGAGTTGCGGTGAGCGCACAGGGGGACAGGCGGGGCGCACAGGGAGGCGGTAAAAGGTGCCATGGGCGGTGGGGAGAAAACAAGCCCTTCATTTTTCCCGGGGCCCTTCCTGCCATACCTGTCCGTTTCATTTCCGTGATTCTTCTTTATGAATGGTGAAATCCACCAGCATAACTGACGACCGTACCTGCAGTACCCGTACCTGCAGTGCCCGTACCTGCAGTGCCCGTACCTGCAGTGCCCGTACCTGCAGTACCCGTACCTGCAGTACCCGTACCTGCAGCGCCCGTACCTGCAGTGGGTGGCCGATTTGGTTGGCTGCGAGGCCGACACCTGGCGCGGTGCGCATGACTGCCACCATGTCATTGATGATCTTCTCTATCTCCGGACTCCCAATGTCCTGATGCCACGTGGCACGGAGGTGGATTGGTGAACCGGGTGGAGAGGAGGAGAACACGGGAAGAAGCAGAAAGGGCACGTGCCATTCATGTTAAGCACGTGCGTTCCCAGGGTTGCTGTTTATATTGGGAAACTGATACCGCATTGTAACACAGCCACGACGACGACGCGAATCTACCAGGCGCACAGGCAGTGGGCGCTTGAGGCTCATGCGATCACGGGCACTCACCCCCCACGCACTCGCCCGAATTACTCAACCACAAGGGCACTCCGCACCACTCACCGCCAGAACTCACGGAGAGGTGAACTCACGGAGAGGAGAACTCACGGAGAGGAGAACTCACGGAGAGGAGAACTCACGGAGAGGTGAACTCACGGAGAGGTGAACTCACGGAGAGGTGAACTCACGGAGAGGTGAACTCACGAAGAGGTGAACTCACGGAGAGGTGAACTCACGGAGAGGTGAACTCACGGAGAGGTGAACTCACGGAGAGGTGAACTCACGGAGAGGTGAACTCACGGAGAGGTGAACTCACGGAGAGGAGAACTCACGGAGAGGAGAACTCACGGAGAGGAGAACTCACGGAGAGGTGAACTCACGGAGAGGTGAACTCACGGAGAGGTGAACTCACGGAGAGGTGAACTCACGGAGAGGTGAACTCACGGAGAGGTGAACTCACGGAGAGGTGAACTCACGGAGAGGTGAACTCACGGAGAGGTGAACTCACGGAGAGGTGAACTCACGGAGAGGTGAACTCACGGAGAGGTGAACTCACGGAGAGGTGAACTCACGGAGAGGTGAACTCACGGAGAGGTGAACTCACGGAGAGGTGAACTCACGGAGAGGTGAACTCACGGAGAGGTGAACTCACGGAGAGGTGAACTCACGGAGAGGTGAACTCACGGAGAGGTGAACTCACGGAGAGGTGAACTCACGGAGAGGTGAACTCACGGAGAGGTGAACTCACGGAGAGGTGAACTCACGGAGAGGTGAACTCACGGAGAGGTGAACTCACGGTGAGGTGAACTCACGGAGAGGTGAACTCACGAAGAGGTGAACTCACGGAAAGGTGAACTCACGGTGGCGGGCACTCACGGTGGCGGGCACGGGGCGCGCAGGCTCGTGCAGCACGGGGTCGCCCGCCTCCACCACGTCGGGCAGCGCCGGCTTGCCGAAGTTGAAGAACGCGCGCGCCGCCACGCCTTGGGAGTCTCCCAGCGACTCGCCGCGCGACGGCGGCGTGCCGGCTACGCGCGAGGTGGGCGTGGAGGAGAACTGCGAGACGTCGCGCAGGTGCGGCGCGAAGTCCATCTTCTCCGTCGACGACACCCTCACCATGCGCGCCGCGCCGCTCGCTGGCGGGCAGCTGATTGGCTGCGATGCTGTCGCCATGACGACGCGATGTGGAAAGAGACTCGTTCGGCCTCGTACCAGCTGCTGTAAAGGAGAATGCCCTAAAGGAAATGTGCGATGTAATGGAGATGCTGAGAGGCAATTTGATGCTAGGGAACGAGAGCACGCGTTCATTTCAAGAAGCCGAACAACACAAACTAGAATGTGTAGCGAGGCGGCTCACTGAGTCGACTGGCAGCAGTGTGTTGAGCAAGCAGAAGTCACAACAGGCAAATAGGAGGAGCAGATTTGGGGTAATTACCTTCTGGGTAACTCACATCGAGCCCGCTGACGTCAAAAGTCACCTACGTGGCTCGATGGTACCCGTCAGATCATGCGCGCCCCTTCGTGGTACCCATCTTCCCTCCGTGGTACCCATCTTCCCTGCGTGGTACCCATCAACTGTGCGCGAATTCCCTGACTGGTACCGCAACATTTCAACCGAGCTGTACACCGTACACCAAGAGTTTCAATGCGTTTCTCAGTATATTGTCTTAACGTTTACAACCTCAATAGAGTCACAAGCCCGAAGTGCCACCTGATCGAGTCAATTTATCACACCCATTACCTATAATAAAGTGTAGAAGAAAAGCTGGATTCTTAAATAAAATAGCATTCATTGGGTAGATTTGTTTAGGCTAAGAAACATTGACAATATAACGTGCTATAAGATAACGTAAAACTGATATATTGCATCAACCGAAAAAAAAGACATCCGTATAGCAAACAATCAACTTACACGTAAAGTATATATTGACTTAAGGTATATTTGATTTTCATTATATGTATTGTTTTGTTTCCAAAAACCAACGAATGTACGTATTATTTGTTTATGATTTTATGTTTAGCTTTGGGGGTGCATGCTCAATTTATTTGCATACAACCTTATAAACTTTGTTCAAATAACATACTGAGCGCTGCGAAACATGGTCGCAAGATTCACTCTACATGTCGTTCAGTGATGTGAGCTTACGAAGGTTCGGAGGTAATGTGAGGATTTTAGAAGAGGAGTTGATTTCTTTCTATGTTGCACTCTGTCCAGTGTAAGGCACGTTCAAACATTTATGTTCAAGGGTATTAATGTTCAATAAGAGTTTGTAAACGTTGTTATTAATATACTGAAAAACGCATTGAAACCCTTGTTGTACAGTGTACAGCTCGGTTGAAATGTTGCGGTACCAGTCAGGGAATTCACGCACAGTTGATGGGTACCACGCAGGGAAGATGGGTACCACGGAGGGAAGATGGGTACCACGAAGGGGCGCGCATGATCTGACGGGTACCATCGAGCCACGTAGGTGACTTCTGACGTCAGCGGCTTCGATGTTGGTTACCCAGAAGGTAATTACCCGCAGATTTGCGATGGTCTGACGAGTGGAATCTAGATTCTAGATGCACCACCCAATGCCAAGCTGTGGTTGGAATCCGTGAGTGTGAATTGCCCGACCTAGATCCGTTTGCTGCCTCACACGCCATGCCATCCGAGCTGGAGTGGGGACCACTACGAAAGAAGGCTCGATTCGCTGATGACGTGGTGCGGGAATCTTTCCCCTTTGCTCCAACCATGTGCGAGACGCATCCAATCGGAGAACACAAAGCGGATTGCACTTCCGCTTGCGTTGATGATTTGGCAGGTTTGTCCTTGTGCAGCGGAACTGTCACACGTCATTTTCGTTCGTTCACAACTTAGTAAGGTGCGGTCTGGTGGGCAATGGTAAACACCGGTGAACGAAAATTCTAAACTCGAGCCGTTCCATCACACGGATAGTCGCAAGACTCTTGCTATTATAATATGTATGACGATGTCAAGCGGATACATTTCAAGCAAGGGTTGTACAGTAATATACATTTTTACTGTGAAGAACTACTGCGATTTAAAGATGTATCTGTAAATTTCACAGAAATTTAGGAATTGGATTAAATATACTGGAAATTAAAATATAAAATCGTTTGAGAGCAATTTATTTTCATTTTCATTCTCATTTATTGTTTTGGGTTAAGTGGACATTGTTAGTGATACATCAAACCACTCTCTTACCGCAATTTCATTTAGGGAGAGCCCTTATTTATCCCAAGTCCCAGTAGGGACAGTCCCAGCGGCGCTTTTCCAGAGGGAAGCAGCTCCGGCGCCTACCACGTGGAGACGGAATCGTAACTAGCTGGCTCGTTGGCAGTCGTTTGCCCCACCCTTGGCCCAACATCGAGGCTGCGAGCGTCCACGTCGGACTGGCATCTTTGAGCTTCCCCGACAAACAATCTGCTGCGGAAAGATCTGGGCGGTGTTTCCCTGCGGGTGTGCGACGCTACAAGACGCCTCTCGTTTCCCAAGGTGTGGGGGGAAGGGTGCGATCGCTAGCACCAAGGTGCGGAGGAAACCCGCCCATGCTGCCGACCATCTGGAGCGCGTTCCGCCAGAGTTGTTGCGCCCTTGGGCGCGCAGGCAGCGGCGCTGCAGTTTGGGTTGAGGCCACTTCCCGTCGAAATAACTGGGGGAATTCCCCCTCCCATCCAACCCCCATTCACTTCCGTAAAGCCCTCCCAATTCCACACCCAAGTCTGTAATAACTGTTCTGTCCTCGCCTCGGGCCTTTTCACTTTCCACATTCCCCCGTCACACGCGGAGACAGGCAGCCTGAATAGACGCTCTCACCTCTGTACCGTACTTTCCCTTCACCCAACCTTGGATTGTCGCGCCATACCTGCCATAGCTGCCAGTTGTGCTCTACCGCAGCGCGCAATGGCCAGTCTAAACGCTGTTCTGTTGCCCAAGGCGGCAACCGCCTCCTCATCAATCACGGCGCTCACTCCGCGGGCCCTCGGCAGCAAGTCGCACATTGCGCAGTCGCTGCCCGTTAGGTCTCCAGCATCTCGCGCTCCATCGCACGCGCAACTCGCGCCGCGATGCGTGCAGGCGGCCGAGCCGCCTCTGACGGTGCCTAAAGCGTCGTCGAGCGCGGCGGAGCCGTGGTCGCCGGGCAGCTGGCAGACGCGCAAGGCGTGGCAGCAGCCGGAGTACCCCGACAAGGCGGCGCTCGCCGCGGCGCTCGAGGAGCTCGAGCGGTGCCCGCCGCTCGTGTTCGCGGGAGAGGCGCGCGCACTGGAGGAGAATCTAGGGGAGGCTGCTCTGGGGAAGGCGTTCCTGCTGCAGGTGAGGTCGTGACTGGCGCACTGGAGGAGAAGCTTGATCTTGAGCAGGGATTTCCTGTCGAAGGCTGCGTCTTTTCTTTTGGTTAGCGCCCTCGATCCGTCACGTTCTTTTGGAAGTGTCATTCAGCCAAAGTTGTCATATTTCCTTCCTTTTTGGATCTCCATCCTTGTCCCCTCGCTTCCCGCTTCCCCTGTTTCCCTCTTGTGACTGCTCCGCCTAACACCGACTGCACCTCTGACCTGTCCCCCGCTTCATTGACTCCCCTCCGCGTCCCCCCGGCAGGGCGGCGACTGCGCGGAGAGCTTCAAGGAGTTCCGCGCGGACAACATCCGCGACACCTTCCGCGTGCTGCTGCAGATGGCCGTCGTCCTCACCTTCGGCGGCCAGATGCCCGTCATCAAGGTGAGCTGACGTCATCAAGGTGAGCTGACGTCATCAAGGTGAGCTGACGTCATCAAGGTGGGTTGACGTCATCAAGGTGAGGCGCGCGCGAATGTCGTTATCAAGGTGATATGCCGTCGTAGAGTAATAAAGGTCAGGCTCGCGCAGATGACGGCCATCACTGTCAGACGCGCGTAGATGACGGTCGTTAGTGCGAGACGGTCGTTCGCGGGAGACGCGCGTAGGGGTTCGTGTTAGGGAATGGCGCCGGAAGCAAAAGACAAAGGCGTGCGAGGTGAATCGAAAATATGAGGATACCCCAATGTCATCTGCAGCGCTTGGTTTGTCCGTGAACACTCTCCGTTGGTGGCTCGGCGCTCCGCCGCTTCAGTTACCTCACGAGCACACAATCTTAGCCTTGTCGTGCCATCACGTTGGCAGCACCGCGGAGCGGACATCGCCAGCGGCCTTCTCGTGACTCCTCGAACCCCCAACACACCGCGTGTGCCTTTTGTTTATTCTGAAGTCCTACCCTTTTTTTTTCAATATGTCGCTGCTTCCCGTCCCTCGCTGTCGTTTTGTAATTTGGGATCTCCTTTCGCCCCCTCCTCCCCGTCTCCTCCCCCTCCCGTTCCGCCCTTCCCCCCACCTCCCCCCGCGCCATCCCCGAGGGCAGGTGGGCCGCATGGCCGGGCAGTTCGCCAAGCCGCGCTCCGACCCCATGGAGACGCGCGGCGACGTCAGCCTGCCGTCGTACCGCGGCGACAACATCAACGGCGACGCGTTCACACTCGAGTCGCGCGTGCCCGACCCGCAGCGGCTGGTGAAGGCGTACAGCCAGGCGGCGGCGACGCTGAACCTGCTGCGCGCGTTCGCGACGGGTGGGTACGCGGCGATGGAGCGCGTGACCAAGTGGGAGCTCGCCTTCATGGAGAACCAGGAGCAGGCCTCAAGGTCAGTCTTGGCCTCCTGGTGATTCGCTTAGAGCAGGCGTTTGGTAGGTCTTTGGCGTCCCGGATATCAAGTCATGGATGGATGCGACCTTCCGCCGCTAGTTGGGGCTCTTTTTTTTAGCAGACCTTTCCGTGAGCCGCTTCGAGCAGGTCGACAGTGATGGCGCGCGGGAGTTAGCGGTAGCCCTTGCGCTAAGCGTCGTGCCATCACGATGCTCATATCTGGATGAAAACCACCACCCGCCAAATTTTCTCTGAAACGAGAGCTCTAGGCGTCCAGGCGAGCTGCTAGTAGCGTCGTTCAGGGGGGGCAAGAGGCCATCCTGTGAGCGAATGGCACGGCGCTGAGTGAACCCGAGGTGACGCTGGTCCTCGTGCGTGGGGTGGGGTCTGACGTTGCTGCAACGGGAGTGAAAACATTGTTTTCGTCAATAATGGAACCAGAAATTAGCGTAGTTGGCGGACGGGAGACACAATTCTGTGAAACGAGGCTTTCGAAAGGTTCTTAAACGAAACAGGTGGAGGTGGCGAAGGGCATCAGCCTCTCGCTCCCCAATCCACTTTGCTGCTCAGCCGCACACCACGGCAGTGTGCGAGACACAGCATGTGCACGTGTCAACATTCCATTCCCATCCTTCTTGAAACGTCCTCCTGACTCATCCCCTGAGACCCCCTCCTCCCCCTCCCTATCATCCCTTTCTACCGCCCTGTCGTCCTTCCCCTCCCCCCGCCAATCCTCTCTCCCCTGGGCGCGCGCGCGGGTGGCAGGTACGAGGAGCTGGCGAGTCGCGTGGACGAGGCGCTGGGGTTCACCTCCTTCTCAAAACAGCTTCCTGACTCATCCCCTGAGACCCCCTCCTCCCCCTACCATCCCTTTCTACCTCCGTTCCTCCTTCCGCCTCCCCTGGGCGCGCGCGCGCGGGTGGCATGGCAGGTACGAGGAGCTGGCGTCGCGCGTGGACGAGGCGCTGGGGTTCATGGCGGCGTGCGGGCTGACGGCGGAGCACCCGAGCATGCGCTCCACCGACTTCTTCACCAGCCACGAGTGCCTGCTGCTGCCCTACGAGCAGGCGCTCACCCGCATCGACTCCACCACCGGCCGCTGGTCAGCTTCCCACCCAACCCTTCCTCTCCTCACCCGCCGCCCGCCCCCTCCTCACATGCCGCTCCTCCTCACTTCCCCTCCTATCCCCCTCCTCTCACCACCATCACCCGCCGTGCACGCCACACCAGGTACGACTGCTCGGCGCACTTCATCTGGGTGGGCGAGCGCACGCGGCAGCTGGACTGCGCGCACATCGAGTTCCTCCGCGGCGTTGCCAACCCCCTCGGCATCAAGGTGCGCGCCCTGCCACACACTCGGGCATCGCATGGGCACTCAGGCTCATGGGTGGTCCCAATTGGGAATTGATTGGGGGTGGGGATTGGTTGGCAGGTGCAGTTATGCAAGAGAGTGTTGAGTGCGCTGTGGTGCCGTTAGTGGAGTGCCAGTAGTGGGGCGGGCCCTGAACGCGCCAGTGCCTCCAAAGCATCTCCTCTCTCCTCTCCCCTGTCCCCTCTCCCCTCTCCCCTCTCCCTTCTCCCCTCTCGCCTCTCCATCCCAACCACTTTGCCACGCAATCTGGCTCTTATCCTCCCTGCATGCATCCCTCACTCTCTCTGCGCCCACGGCACAGGTGAGTGACAAGATGCCGCCACAGGACCTGGTGGAGGTGTGCCGCACCCCCAAGCTTGCCCCCTTGCTCCGTGTCCCCCTCCCCCTCCCTACCTGTCCCCCGCATGTACCCACGGCGCAGGTGAGTGACAAGATGCCCCCTCAGGACCTGGTGGAGGTGTGCTGCTTCCCCCAAGCTTAACCCCTTGCTCCCGTGTCCTCTTCCCTACCCGTCCCCCGCATGTACCCATGCCGTGCAGGTGAGTGACAAGATGCCCCCTCAGGACCTGGTGGAGGTGTGCCGCATCCTCAACCCCGACAACCGTCCGGGGCGCGTCACGGTGATCGTGCGCATGGGTGCGGAGAAGCTGCGCGAGAAGCTGCCGGCGCTGGTGCAGGCGGTGGAGCGCGAGGGGGTGGTGGTGACGTGGGTGTCCGACCCCATGCACGGCAACACCATCAAGGCGCCCAACGGCTACAAGACCCGCGACTTCAACTCCATCCGGGTGAGCCAGAGGGGGTGTGTGTGTGCGTGCATGCGCGGTTGTGTCTGTGCGGTGGAGCGCGAGGGGGTGGTGGTGACGTGGGTGTCCGACCCCATGCACGGCAACACCATCAAGGCGCCCAACGGCTACAAGACCCGCGACTTCAACTCCATCCGGGTGAGTGAGGAGGGGTGTGTGTGCGTGCATGTGCGGTTGTGTCTGTGCGGTGGAGCGCGAGGGGGTGGTGGTGACGTGGGTGTCGGACCCCATTCACGGCAACACCATCAAGGCGCCCAACGGCTACAAGACCCGCGACTTCAACTCCATCCGGGTGAGCCAAGGGGGGTGTGTGTGCATGATTGTGCGTGCATCTGTGTGTGTGGATGTGTGTGTGTGCATGTGTGTGCATCTGCGTGTGTGCATCTGCGTGTGTGGATGTGTGTGCATGTGTGTGCATGTGTGTTTGTGGATGTGTTGTATCTCTGCATGTGAGGGGGTTCTTGGAAGGTCGATCGTCTCCACCTGACAAGCTTGCCAGGGCACCACAAGAGCAATACTCTCGGTTTACACCCGGCTCATGTTCCCTCACTAATTACACTCGCCCCCCTAACACCTTCCCGGCCCCATCAGGCGGAGCTGCGGGCCTTCTTTGACGTGCATGAGGAGCTGGGCACGCACCCAGGGGGGGTGCATCTGGAGATGACGGGGCAGAACGTGACGGAGTGTGTGGGCGGCACCAAGGAGGTGACCTTTGACGACCTCTCCTCGCGCTACCACACGCACTGCGACCCGCGCCTCAACGCCTCCCAGAGCCTCGAGCTCGCCTTCCTCATTGCCGACCGCCTCCGGCGAGGCCGCGGCAAGCCGTCCCTCTGGCTCGAGGAGTGATGCGGGGGGGTGGTTGCTCTAGGTGTATGTCTGGGGAGGGGTGTGTAGGGTGACATAGTTGTGGGTGCCAGAAGATTGCAAGGGGATTAGGGTCCCTGTAGTGTTATGTTGAATTGCTGGCGGATGTGATTGTGTAGACTGCGGTTTGCTCTCTTGCAAGGATTGAATGGATACATTCAAATCACTGTTGTCCCAAGGATTATTCACTGTGCTATCTAGAGGTTATCCCTCAATGATAGCCACTTGAACAGGCCATGAAGGGGCAATGCTACTTATCCAAAAAGAACATGTGCTTCTTTGTCATACACATTCCTCTTCACAACACTGACCGAAGCTTAGATGGATACATATACAAGCAGATGACCACTCAAATGCTCCAGGCTTCTCTCGAGGCACGAGAGGTGCCTGCCTGCCTAGGCAGCCGATTCTTCCAATCGACTCAAAGAGAGAAGCTTGGGTGGGTGGGGCAGCCCCTAGAAGCCAAGAAGCTGCTGTGACTTGCGCATGAGGAAGGGCAGTGTGGAGGGGTGGAACTTGCGCGCGAAGAGGAAGCAGTTGCGCGGCTCCCCCGCCACCACACACTGCCCGTTGCCCACCGCCTGATGGGGAGAGCAACTCGGGGGTTGATGGGGAGTGGGCGAGGCGAGTCTTGAGTCGACTCATGAGCCGTTTGGGAAAGAACGATTCACGTGCGGGCGAGGAGAAGGAGAGGTGAGGAGGGATGAGCACGCAGCGTGCGTGTGGTGGAGGAGGACTCACCAGAGGAGGCTGCGGTGCAGAGGGGTCGGTTATCTGCGCAAATGGGTAGCACAGCGCACATGGGAGGGAGAGGGGCGGGGTGGGGGAATGGTGGCAGGCGGTCGGCCACAGGGGAGCGTGGTTGACGGAGTGGTGGGGAGTGGCGCATGGCAGGAGGCGGGGAGTGGAGAGGCAGATGTGCGGTTGGTGGGAAGGAAGGCGATGGGAATAGATACCGTGTGGATTGAGCTGAGATGCATGCGTGCAGGGTGCACCCAATCATTGGTGTACACACATGCATGATGCATGTGGGTAGGGTACCCACATGTGCATCACATGATCACGTTGATTGCATGCCCATGCACGCAACTGAATGAATGCCCATACAAAGGAAGTGCACGCACATACACACAAAGGGAGTGCATGCACATACATACAAACAAAGTGCACACAAATACAGCCGAAGTGCACGCACATACATACAAATGAAGTGCACGCACATGGGAATAGTTGGATTGGAAGTCTTGCCAGAAGGAGCGGTACGTGATGAACTGCCTTGCCGTCTGCCGTGGACGTGCCGGGGCGAGGAGGCAGGCCGCAGGGCAGTGGAGAAGGGAGATAGCAAGTTAAGGAGATTCGAAATTCAGTGAAGGTGACACGATGGCAGGGATGATGGCAAGTGACACGTGGCATTTACTGCGGGCTGCGAGAGGGGGTGAACTTGTGGGCAGGCAGGAGAGCGCACAGGAGGCATGTGTGTGAGAGGGAGCAGACATAGACTTGGTGGTGTGGTGATGGCAAAAGGTGGCAGAGAGGCGGGCGACCTTGATGGTGGTGATGACTTGGTCTGTCATGTTGGCGCCCAGGTAGAGTGAGGGGTGCCACTCGTTGGCACTCCAGTCCGTGAAGGTGGTGGGGTAGCGTGATATGCCGCGTGGGTCTGTCATCTGTGCAGCACCATGGGGGGTGGGGCATTGCAGGGGGGAGCATGGCAAGGAGAGGGATTGAAGGGGGGAGCATGGCAAGGAGGGGCATTGCAGGGGGGGCATGGAAGTGAGATGGCATGAGGGGGTATTTGAAAGAAGAGATTGGCCAATGGTAGGCATGCGCATGGGTGGTGGGAGCGACTGAAGTTAGCGAGGTGTGAGCGAGGTGTGACCGAGGTGTGAGAGAGGTGTGAGAGAGGTGTGAGAGAGGTGTGAGCGAGGTGTGAGCGAGGTGAGAGGTGTGAGCGAGGTGTGAGCGAGGTGTGAGCGAGGTGTGAGCGAGGTGTGAGCGAGGTGTGAGCGAGGTGTGAGAGAGGTGTGAGCGAGGTGTGAGCGAGGTGTGAGCGAGGTGTGAGAGAGGTGTGAGCGAGGTGTGAGCGAGGTGTGAGCGAGGTGTGAGAGAGGTGTGAGCGAGGTGTGAGAGAGGTGTGAGCGAGGTGTGAGCGAGGTGTGAGCGAGGTGTGAGCGAGGTGTGAGCGAGGTGTGAGCGAGGTGTGAGAGAGGTGTGAGCGAGGTGTGAGCGAGGTGTGAGCGAGGTGTGAGAGAGGTGTGAGCGAGGTGTGACCGAGGTGTGAGCGAGGTGTGAGCGAGGTGTGAGCGAAGTGTGAGGGACCCACATGCAAGAAGGTTTGAATGTAGTGCTCATCCGCACAGCACAGCTTGCCCCACTGCAACCGGAACTGCACACACACACACAGACACGTGTAATGAGTCGTGTTTTGAGTCGACTCAAAGCACAGCACAGCTTGCCCCACTGCAACCGAAACTGCACACACGCACACACAGGTGCAGGGGCAACAAGGATGGGACATGGGAAATGGGTGATGGGAAGGGCATGGGGCATGGGGTAAGGGGCAAGGGACATGGGGCGCTCTTGAAGCATGTCAGACAAGGGACAGCCAAACGGGGGATGAATCAGACATGGCTCATACAGGCTAGCGGGACATGACATGAATTCGAAATGGCAAGGGGTGGCAAGATCTAGAATAGCAGCACAACGGGAGGTTGTAGGGCAGAGGAGCAGAGGGGAGAGGAGCAGAGGCGACGGGGGAGTAGGGGGGACTGACGGCGCAGCTGAGGTTGTGCCGGGTGTAGTGCAGCGTGTCCCTCACCACCGCCTCCGCATGCCGCCGCTGCAGGATGAACCACTGCGCCATGCGGTGCCATGCGGTGTGATGGGATGGGATGGGATGGGATGGGATGGGATGGGATGGGATGGGATGGGATGGGATGGGATGGGATGGGATGGGATGGGATGGGATGGGATGGGATGTGCATTCGGTGATGTGCATCCAACACGTGCCATCCATGCATGCGCATTGATGCGAATGGAATGAGAGTGTCAAAGATGTGCAAGGCAAGGCAATCACAGGAGCACACACAGGTTCTGAAATGTCATATCATTGGAGACATGGCACAGTTATACACACAAGCACAGCAACAACATAATGCATGCGTGTGCATTGCGCCTCACACGAAAACAGGTACACTAAATACATGTAGAACGAGACAAAATGCATTGTATCGAATCTGGTTTGAGTGGCACCCCACCTGTTGCCTGTGAACCGCACTGCACCCACCTGATTGCCTTTGAGCCACGCACCTGCCTGCCTGTGAGCCGCACTGCACCGCACCTGGTTGCCCTTAAGGAACTGGTGGCGGCGGATGGTGGGCATGAAGATGTGCGGTATGTACCGCCCGAACGACATGCTGTAGGGGTCCGAGTAGCTGTTAAGGGGGAAGGGGTGGGGGGTTGGGAGGAGGAGGGAGAGGTTTTGCATGTTGAAGCACATCAGGCAGTGTGTGGGGCAGTGGGTGGGGCAGAGCGTGAGGCAGAGCACAGGTGGTGAATGCGGATGAGTGATGCAGCACAGCGGGTGGCGGGATGCATCATGTTCCTGCCACCCGTGGTGAATCCGGAAGAATAAACTGGCATTCTAACTCGCACATGCCTTCACTTCACTTGCACATTCACCTCCGAGCACAGTGGCATGCACATGCGGATGCACATGCATGTGCGGTCAAACAGTGGGAGAGAAACGAGACGTGGCGTCGGGGGTGGGGGGTGTGGTGTGGGGAAGGGGGGAGCGACACTGACGCGTCAACGAAGCTGGCGGAAGAGGAGGCGATGTAGCTGTACACGTAGTCAAACGGCCACAGCGGTATGCAGCTGCACGCCACGCGCGCGCCCAGGTATGAGGGCGTGGGGGGCAGGGGGGGTGGGGGGAGGGGTGAGTGAGCGGCACTGGCGCGTCGAGGTGGAGGCGATGTAGCTGTACACGTAGTCAAAGGGCCACAGCGGTATGCAGCTGCACGCCACGCGGTCATGACGTGGGGGGAAAGGGGCATGAGCGGAGGGCGTGGGGTAAAACAGTCATGGTTGGTAACGGGGCATTGGGAGCAGGGACTTGGGAAGTTAAGATATCGAAGCATGGGTAGCTGGGGCACGGGAAGTTGCGACACGGGAAGTTGGGGCACGGAGAGAGGTTGAATGGTGGCTGGCGTTGCCACGTGGCATGTAGTGGGGTGGCTGGCAGGAGTATGAAGCATGCAAGCAAGCAGAGTGGCCTGAGAGCTGGCAGGAGTATGGAGCAAGGCGAGCAAGGTGAGTGAGGGTTGCGGCATGCAGGCGTGGCCTGAGGTGACTTTTGAGTCGACTCAAAAGTCACCTCGAGCGAGGTGAGAGAGGATTGCAGCATGCAGGCGCGGCCTGAGAGAAGCCTCGCAAGCAACACTCTTTGCCTCTCATCCCCACCAACCCTCAACCCCCACCCCTCGCCCCGCACCCCTATCCTCTCCCCACTCGCCACCCACCTTTCGCCCCCCGCACCTCGGCCCCCACCTCTCACTCAGCACCACCTCCCACTCAGCACCACCTCTCACTCAGCACCACCTCCCACCGAGCACCACCTCTCACTCAGCACCACCTCTCACCGAGCACCACCTCTCACCGAGCACCACCTCTCACTGAGCAGTGCGAAGAAGCTGTTGGCCTCGTCCTGCACCGCCGCCTCCAGCAGACGCCTCTCCGCATCCACCATCGACATCTCGCCCCACCGCACCTGCCATGCAGCATGGGTGGGAGCATCAGAGGCACATGCGGTGAGGCACATGCGATGAGGCACATTTTGAGGCGCCTCAAAAGCCTCCAGCAGGCGCCTCTCCGCATCCACCATTGACGTCTCGCCCCACCGCACCTGCCACACGTGCACGCATGGACACACACGTCATACGTGGCATGAGTCTAGTTTTGGTTGAGGCGCCTCAAAAGCCTCCAGCAGGCGCCTCGCCGCGTCCGTCCACCATGGACATCTCGTCTCGCCCCACCCCACCGCACCTGCTGTGTGACATGGGTGCGCGCATGAGAGGCACATGGCGTGCGGTGCATTGGCGGTTGGTGGCATGCACAGGGCCAGGGGGGGGAGGAACAGCGGAGCACATGGCAGTGCTGCGCGCAACAGGGAGCACGCGAGTGCACACGGGAGGCAAGCAGGCAGAGGCACGCAGGCAGCGGCACGCAGGCAGAGGCACGCAGGCAGAGGCATGCAGGCAGAGGCATGCAGGCAGAGGCATGCAGGCAGCGGCATGCAGGCAGCGGCATGCAGGCAGAGGCACGCAGAAGAGAGGTACTTGATGCCTGATTGACACCACCCACACGCCCATCCCATCATCCCAGCACACCACACGAGGCTCACCTCTCCACCCGGCACAAGGCGGCCGCGGAAGAGAGGCGAGGAACCGGGCGGGAATGAGAAGGACGCGTTGGACGCATGCACGTATATGGAATAGCGCCCCTCGTGGCCCTGGGGGATGGGGGGGAGGGGAAAAGGAGTGGGAGAAGGGGGGAAGGATGGAGAGGGGAAGAGTGGAAGAGGGGGAGAGGAGGAAAGGAGGAGGGGAAGAGGGAGGGGCGAGTTGGTGGCGGGGGGGAGAGGAGGGTGTAAAGGAGGGAGAGGGGGGGGGGGGGGGGGGGGGGGGAGGGGGGGAGGGGGGAGGGGGGAGGAGGGAAAGGGGTTTGACATGGTGCAGCAGCGGATGATATGCATGTGAGTGGCAAGACAGGAGAGGCGTCCATGAATCCCGGAGAGAACATGTTTGAATATCAATCAACATGCCACTTTTGCCGTCGCGCATGTGGCATGGGGCATGGCGCATGTCGCATGGGGCATGGCGCATGTGTGGGACAAGTGGGGCACGTGAGGGACGCACGAAAAGGGGGGCACGAGTGGGGAAGCACGAGTGGGGAAGCACGAGTGGGGAAGCACGAGTGGGGAAGCACGAGGCTGGGACACACGAAGACGAGGGCCGCCGGGGGGAGGCGCACGAGGGAGGGACGCACCCGGAGGAATTTTTTCCATAGCGGCGCGAGGGGGATGGGGCCGCGCGTGAGGAAGAGCAGCGCGAGGCTGCCGCGCTGCTGCCGCAGCTGCGACCACACGCCGCCCACCTGCGCCGCGCCCGCCTGCTCCACCTGCTCCGCCTCCTCCACGCTTATATCGAACGGCGACAAAAACGGGGACAGCACGGACATAATGAAGGGGAGCTGCGAGAGGAGCAGCAGCGACGCGGCGAAGACTACGATGAGCGACACGAACACGCGCTGCACGTGGCGCGAGGGCGATGATTTGGAGTCACCGCCGGCACCCTGCTGCGCGGGAGGCGCGAGGGGCGACGCGCCATGGGGCGGGCGACAAGGCGACGGTGTGGCGTCAGAGGCGGCGTGCGCGGGGGTGGCGCTGTGCAAGGGAGCAAGGTGGCGCGCTGGCGGCGGTGGTTCGTGTGAGGGCACGTGCGGGGGCGAGAGGGGGTTCGATAGAGCAAGGAGGGATGGCGACACGACACTGCCGGAGGAGGGCGGTAATTGTGTGTCGCGTTGAGCGGGGCTAGCGGGGTGCGCGACGAGGCGAGCGCTGCTCGCCGCCCTCCTCTCCGCCTTCAGCAGCCGCTCCGCTTCCCGCTCGTGCATCGCTGGCGCGGAGAAGTCTCTATCGCTAGTAATTGCACGATCGGACCACATGTGCGTGCTCGTGGTTCTAGCGATACATGTTGGTGGCGGTGGAGTCACCAATTCGTGAAGCATAATGATTTGGACACATGCTCGCTACGGGTAGAAAGATTCTAGTAAGAACCCAATCATTCCGGTAGCGACAAATAAATTACTAACAAACGACGTCGTACTCGTGATTATACGCCGTACTATCGCGAGTCGTCCTGCACCGTACGAGCCACTACTTCAGAAGCATGTTGTGTGACTAATCTGATAGCGTTTCTTACAGGGCAGGAATGAAGCAAGCTGGGGTGGTCTTCTGGTTCGGGTTTCTGCACGAGGGCAGAGCGGTTGCACCCGAACCTCATAGATTCAATTGCAGGACTTGCGTTGCGACGGGTGTGGTCGGTGGAGAGGACAGGCTCGGCAGGAGTTTTTGGGTGGCTGACGAAATCTGGTGTTTCAGTACGGTGTGGTGCAACCCGATGAATTCTGAGGCGGTTCGTGGAGCTGGGCACACCTCAGCTCCACGATGCTGTCAACAAACCAGCAGTGTGCAGCCATGTGGAAGCAGACTTGCTACAAGCACTTCCCCGACTTACCCAGACTGGGTTCGGTTGGTGCAAAAGTCCTGCGCTACTGAATTGTCGTCGTACATGTCTTGTGGTCGGAGTTACGACTCGCGAAAGGCAGGTTACGGCTGTGGTCGTATGCTTGCTATAGTGTACTACCAGCGATATATATATGTGTATACCTGTAAGGAAAATTCCTTTTCCTTACTTCGCGCCCCTGCTTACCGCGTACAAGACCATTCCCGCCATCGGCACCCAAACAGTGAAACGTTACCCGCTCGCGACACTCGCCTCGACTACGACTCCCGCCACCATTCACGATGCGACCCAACCTCACGGTTCGGTTGGTAACCCGCGCTCCGGACCTCCGCCTCGACATTTCCCAACCTCGGCGCTAGGCCCGTAGCGCACCCCATTATCTCGCGTTACCGTTACCACTCTAGTTTGCTATATATTCTTCGCGCATGCCTTCGCTCATTGTATTGTTTTTGCTTCGATAGTGCAATTCTCGCTCGCTCGTTCAATTGCACTCGTAACACTTGGTATTCACCTACGATCTCCTCTCGGACCGCACCCACACCTTCGCTTCCCCACTATCTCAATTTTTGGGGGGGGGTAGACGTCTCTCAGCGAACAAGCACCGCCGCTCGAAGTGCTCTCTCGTAAGCACGCACGGCCACGACAGAGGCTCTCGCTGAGTTTGCCCGACACCCCCGCCATGACCGAAATTAATCTTGCGACATTGACGCAGGAGCAGCTCGACCGTCTCGTGCGCCAACTCGAAGATTCGGCGCTCGAAATCGCGACACTCACGGCGGAACGTGACTCCGCCCGCCAACAATCAACGGTGAATGCGCCAGCACCCTCACAAGCACCCGCAAATGCACCTGTGCAATCGGATGAGCCGATTGTCATCTCGTCCGGCACACCGTCACATCACGACAGCATGGGACAGCGCTCAGGCGCAGCCAGTGATGGCGCCGCCCAGTCAATGCCTGGCATGGGGAGGAACAGGGCTGTACCAAGCACGAGCGGGCCTCGCGAAGCCCGTCGTCACGTTGAATTTGCGGCAACAATCGGCAACAACGACATTATCGCGCCGATGCCGCTCAAACCGCAGCGCCCGCCCTGTTTCGACCCGAGCCAACGAGGAGGTCCGACGGTTCAATCGTGGGTCTTCACGATGAACGTTTTTTTCGACGCGAATTACGTCGAGTCGGACGCAGCGAAGATTCGATATGCTGTTTCGCTGCTAAGGGGCCCCGCCATGGACTGGTGGCGAGTCATTGTGACGTCGCCACGCGCCTACGAGCCTCCGTCGGAAGAGGAAGAGCCCACGGGTCCAGCCGTCACCTGGAGTTCGTTCTGTGAAACCGCCCAGGACAGCACGTGGGATGCGTGGTGCGCAGGGCTTCGAGCGCGCTTCGAGCCGATTGCGGCTTCTATTTCGGCGCGTCAGAAACTGCGTACTTGGCGACAACTTGGGTCGGTCCAAGACTACACCAACAGTTTTCTCGCATTATGCGAGCAAGTCGGCTACATGCACGAAGCGGAGCGGGTGGACCGTTAAGTCGGAGGGCTGAAGCTGGACATCTCGCACGAAATCATGCTACGCGGGCTCTCGAATTTCAACGAGATCCTCGCGCTCGCCGAGAAAATCGACATTTTGCGCCGTCCGAGACCGGGGTCCTATTACGGACATCGCCTTCGGGGACCGACCGAGCACGCCACCGTACACGCCGTTGCGGCGAATGCAGCTGCTGCGCCATTTAAGGGGCGCTGCTTTGCTTGCAATAGGCCGGGCCATCGCAAGAGCGAATGCCCAGAGGAGCAGAGACGCCGCGGAGCAGAGCATGGACGGGAGTGTCAGAGGCAGGGAAATGCCAGTAGTCAGTAGAAAATGGGCCGACTACTGACGAGACAACCTGCTCGCCCAACCTCACCGACCCTCACCGAGTCACAGTACCGATTCACGCTATCGATCGGGCTCGGATGAATAAGGAGGGTACAGCGACGGATTGCCCAGTACTGATTCACGGGAAAATACAGGGAGCAACAGTGAAGATTTTTATAGACGGGGGAGCAAGCCACAGCTTAGTTAATACCGCAACCGCACGGAAGCTGCAACTGACACTTAGTCGGTGTTTACCAGAGATAGATGCACGCTTAGTCGACAGCACGCGGCTGGCCATACGGGAGAAGGTGGAAAGAGTAAAAGTCCGTTGCGGGGGGAACTTTGGGTTTACACAGGAAATGCTCGCGACGACACTGGATGGGCACGACATTTTACTGGGACGTGACTAGCTGCGACGGTATAACCCGCGAATCGACTGGACGACGGGTAGCTGCACTGTGCGAAGTAGCGGTAACTGGGTCATACTACCTCGCTGGCAGTCGCCCGAGTCTTCAACGGTCCACGTCAACGCCATCACGATGAAACGGGCTGTCGCCGCTGGAGCTGACGTGTACGCAGTGGATATAGCATTGGTAGCGGAAGCAGAGCAGCCGAGCGATTTTCAGAAACTGTTGGCAGCAGTACCGCCCGAACTACAGGAACTGTTGAAACGGTACCCGGGGATTTTTCCGGACGATTTACCAGAGGGACTACCACCTCAGCGAGCACATGACCACCGAATAGAGTTAGAATCGGGGGCACAGCCAACTGTACAGCGACAATTCCGACTGACACAGCCAGAGCTCGATGAACTGAGGAAGCAGTTAGATTACCTGTTAGAGAAAAAAATCATCCGACCGAGCTCGTCACCGTTCGCCGCCCCGATACTGTTCACACCGAAAAAAGACGGAGGTTTTCGTATGTGTATCGACTACAGAGCACTGAACAGGGTAACAGTCAAGTCGCGATACCCCATTCCCCGCGCCGACGAACTGATAGATCAACTGCGAACAGCACGGGTCTTTTCGAAAATTGACTTACGCGGAGGTTACCACCAGATTCGGGTCGAACCATCGGACTGCGTAAAAACGGCATTTAGAACTAGGTACGGGTCATTCGAGTACACCGTGATGCCATTCGGGCTGACCAACGCACCGGCGACATTTTAGATGACCATGAACGAGGCGTTTAGGCCGCTCTTAGATAAATGCGTGATAGTTTACCTCGACGACATCCTAGTTTACAGTCGCGATAAGCAGCAGCACTTAGCAGATCTGGAAGCAGTATTTAAAGTTTTAGACGAGCACAGACTACTGACCAAGGGTTCCAAGTGCGAGTTCTTCCAGGATAGGTTAGAGTTCTTGGGGCACGTTATTTCGGAGGCTGGAGTTGAGATCGACCCAAAGAGCTGGACACGGTAAAAGCGTGGCGCCCCCCGACGAACATCACGGAGCTGCAGAGCTTTTTAGGGTTCGTTAATTATGTGCGTCGGTTCGTCCCCGACATGGCACAGTTAACTGCCCCGCTGACGGATTTACTGCGGAAGGGGGTCACTTTTACGTGGGGGGAGAAAGAGCATGCTGCCTTCTCTGCCCTGAAAAATGTTCTCTGTTCACCCCCCGTACTGCGCATCGCCGACCCACACCGCCCATTCGAAGTAGTTACAGACGCAAGCGACATCGCCATTGGAGCCGTACAGCTACAGGATTTCGGCAACGGTCTACAGCCCATCGCATACGAGTCACGAAAACTGCTCCGCCCGAGAAGAGTTACCCGATACACGACCGCGAAATGCTCGCGATCGTGCATGCATTCAAGGTCTGGCGCTGTTACTTGACCGGCGCAGACGTGACAGTACGGACAGACCACAGATCCCTACAGTACCTCCGCGCACAGCCCCACCTCAACCCACGACAGATCCGCTGGCTCGATTTCCTCGAGTCAAATTTCCACTACACGGTCACCTATAAAAAGGGAGCATCGAACATTGCCGACGCACTGACCCGCCCAACTGCCCAGATCCGCGCCATACTACTCGCACAGACCAGCCCGCTACTGACAGGCCTATTTACCCACGGGTATCAGACAGACCCCTTTTTTACCGGAGGCAACTCGCAGCAGTTCGCAGCAGCAAAAGGGGTGTATTACGTAAAAGCCGGTACCGACCGCATCTGGGTACCGGGCTACACTTTACTAAGGGAACTGTTACTACAGGAGGCACACGACGGGGTTACCTCAGGACATTTCGGGGTAGAGAAAACACGGCAGCAGCTGCAGCGGTATTACTACTGGCCCGAGATGCTGACCGACGTGCAACGACACGTGGCATCGTGTCCCACCTGCCAGCTCATGAAGTCGTCACGGCAACGACCGGCAGGACAGTTGCAGCCGATACCACCCCCAGAGCATGCTTGGCAGCAGGTGACGATGGACTTCGTCACGGGGTTACCGGCTGGAGCAAGTGGGAACGACGCGATCCTGGTCGTCGTCGATCGGCTGACGAAAATGGCACACTTCGCAGCCTGCAAGAAATCAATCACAGCCGAAGAAACGGCCCGCCTCTTCATCTCCACCGTCGTTCGACTGCACGGGATACCAGCATCAATTATCAGCGACCGCGACACAAAGTTCACCAGCAACTTCTGGCGAAACCTGTGGCAGCAGTTCGGCACACGACTACAGTTCAGTTCATCATACCACCCCGAAACCGACGGACAGACAGAACGGACAAATCAGACCATGGAACAACTCATCCGAGCCACGTGCGACGACCCGACCACGTGGGAACAGCAACTGCCACTCATCGAGTTCGCGTACAACAACTCGCCATCTGCCACGACCCAACAGTCACCATTTTACCTGAACTACGGACAAGACCCCACAGTACCCATGACCCCGAATCCGGACAACCCAGTCCCACGCGCGCAACAGTTCGCAGAAATATTGCAAGCAGCACGGACCCGAGCAGCAGAAGCAATAAGAAAATCAAAACGTCATCGCTGAGCGCAACGCCGACCGACACCGCCGCCCCGTCACTTACCAACCCGACGACCTGGTATTACTCGACACTCAAAACCTCCGCCTGCCCATCACCCCAAAACTCCGCCCCCGATATTGCGGGCCATTTCGCATCAGCCACATGATCACACCCGTCACCACCCATCTCCTCCTCCCTGCTGACTGGTACGTCAGCCCGTCATTCCACGTCAGCCTGCTTCGCCCATACGTGCCATCCACCAGCCAACTGCCTCGCAACCGCCCTGCCAGCATGACACGACCGCCAACAGAGCCAATCATCACGCCCGAAAAAATACTGAGCCACCGAGTACGTGACCCACGGGGAGCCCGCAGGATCGAATTCCTGATCCGCTGGAAAGACCGCACGCCCACCGAAGACAACTGGGTCCCCCTGGATAGAGTTGAAAATCACCCTGTCCTCACTGAGTATCTGCGCAGCCGAAACTTTCGCGATGTACACGCGCTCTCATAAAGAAGGCCTCCTTTTGGGGGGGGGGGGGGGGGGGGTAGTGTAAGGAAAATTCATTTTCCTTACTTCGCGCCCCTGCTTACCGCGTACAAGACCATTCCCGCCATCGGCACCCAAACAGTGAAACGTTACCCGCTCGCGACACTCGCCTCGACTACGACTCCCGCCACCATTCACGATGCGACCCAACCTCACGGTTCGGTTGGTAACCCGCGCTCCGGACCTCCGCCTCGACATTTCCCAACCTCGGCGCTAGGCCCGTAGCGCACCCCATTATCTCGCGTTACCGTTACCGTTAGGGTGCGCGGGCACCCTAACCGAACCCAACCAGTCTCAGGACCATCAGTAAGCCGCTTCAAGCCTTTTCACTTCTTGAACTCCCCTCATTCCTCATTTTGCCGGTTTTCCAAATTGCACCTTCGTCCTCGCCTCACAATCTCGGGCTTTTTTTACCGTGAAAGCTAGCTGCCTGTCTCTAAATTCTTCCTTTGCTGCATTCAGCTGGTAGCAACTGTTCTTGCATCAGCTAGTAACTGTTCGGTACGCCATGTCTCACAAAATTCTCCCTTACTCTCACAAGAACCGCTCTTCCCGGCGAACACCTTTCCTTATCACCCCATGTGGTTCTTTCGCGCTCGCGAAGTTCATAGCAGCGCTCGCCGCACTGCTCGCCCCGTCAACCACCGCCGCGTTGAAACTGGGCGCGTATGTCCCGCCGGCGGACCCTACGACCACTCGCGGTCCGTGCCCGGGCTTCAACACGATGGCGAACCACGGCGTCTTTCCGCGCGATGGCTCCACCATTCCGCGCAGCCTAATTGTCGCCGCCTTTAGCAAGTTCTACTCCTTCTCCCCGACCATGTCGAACGCCATTCTCGATTCCGCCTTCGCGAAAGGCGTGGGGGACCCCGCAGCGCAGACGATCGACCTCGTGCAGCTCCGCGCGCACAACAAGATCGAGCACGACGTGTCGCTTGTCCGCGATGACTCATACTTCGGTAACAACTACCTCGTTAAAACCCGCAGGCCAAGAAGTTCAACCTTAGGAAGGTTGGTTGGGAGGGGAAACGTGATTGGCCCGCGAACCGTGGGGGTGTCGAGATTGTTGAGAATGTTCGTGAACTTGCGCAGGTTCGCCAATGTTACCGGGGTTGGCCTGCGACATGTACTTTACGCACACATCAGTCGCACAGAGCCTAAAGCGACACCTCACAGCAACCTGACTCACAACCACATTTCCGAACACCACGTCACCTCATTGTAGTATAGGGTGTCTGCGCCTACTACAGGTAGCTAGGAAATTGGGCCTAGCGCAAGGGCAAAGCCCCATCCGTCAAATCTCAGCTGCGGCGAGGGATAGTTATAGCGTACACAAAGCTGCTCGACGGCATCAATTTCTATCGCGACACACTGCACGAGCCGGCAACGCCCGTACGTGCGTCACCTGACAGCTGCGAATCCTTTAGATTACCCCGCGATAAGCGATGCTCGTCCCGTCCCCCTCCCGTCGCCTTCACATCCCCATCCCGTCGCCTTCACTCCCCCCTCCTGTCGCTCTTCCCTTTTCCCTCGCGTCGCCCTTCCCTTTTCCCGGACCGTCGCTCTTCCCTTTTCCCTCGAGTCGCTCTTCCCTTTTCCCTCCCGTCGCCTTCCCTTTGCCCTCCCGTCGCCTTCCCTTTTCCCTCCCGTCGCCTACCCATTTCCCTCACGTCGCCTTCCCTTTTCCCTCCCGTCGCCTTCCCTTTTCCTTCCCGCCGCCTTCTCTTTCCCCTCCTGTCGCCTTCCCTTTTCCCTCCCGTCGCCTTCCCTTTTCCCTCCCGTCGCCTTCCCTTTTCCCTCCCGTCGCCTACCCATTTCCCTCTCGTCGCCTTCTCTTTCCCCTCCTGTCGCCTTCCCTTTTCCCTCCCGTCGCCTTCCCTTTTCCCTCCCGTCGCCTTCCCTTTTCCCTCCCGTCGCCTACCCATTTCCCTCTCGTCGCCTTCCCTTTTCCCTCCCGTCGCCTTCCCTTTTCCCTCCCGTCGCCTTCCCTTTCCCCCCCCGTCGCCTTCCCTTTCCCCTCCCGTCGCCTTCCCTTTTCCCTCCCGTCGCCTTCCCTTTGCCCTCCCGTCGCCTTCCCTTTTCCCTCCCGTCGCCTTCCCTTTTCCCTCCCGTCGCCTTCCCTTTTCCCTCCCGTCGCCTTCCCTTTTCCCTCCCGTCGCCTTCCCTTTTCCCTCCCGTCGCCTTCCCCCTTCCCTCCCATCGTCTTCACCGAACTCTTCCGTCGCCTTCACTTCCCTCTCCCATCGCCCTCGCTCCCCCCTCCCATCGCCCTGCTCATTCTCCAGTCGCCCTCTCTTCCCCGGCTCACCCTGTTTCCCCAGCTCCCACGCTAGCCCCCGGCTCTCTCTGTCTGTCTCCCCTGCTCATTCTCTTCGCCGTCTCCCCCCCATTCCCCCACAACCTCTTCCTCAAGTTGTTGGTGGGTTCATTTGCGCTAACGCTTCCCTCTCCGACGCTACCGTGACCCTGCACCCGACGCCACCCCGCCATTTCTCCACGCTCATCCTCCCTTTCCCTCACTACCACCCGCCCAATCCCCAACTCCCCCGCGTCCTTTCTGCCACTCCCCCCCGCCCTATCCCCCACTCGCACCCGTCCATTCCCCCACTGCCCCGGTCCTTTCCCCCACTCCCCCCCGTCATTACCCCCACTCTCCCTCGCCCTGCTCCTCCACATAAACATTCCTTTCCCTCACACTAATCCTCCTTTTCCCTCACGCTAATCCTCCCTTTCCCTCACGCTAATCCTCCCTTTCCCTCACGCTAATCCTTCCTTTCCCTCACGCTAATCCTCCCTTTCCCTCACGCTAATCCTCCGCTTCCCTCACGCTAATCCTCCGCTTCCCCCACACTAAAGTTCCGTTTCCCCCACGCTAATCCTCCATTCCCCCGTGCCACCCTTCCATCTCCCCCACGCCAACTCTCTCTCCCGCGCCAACGTTAATGGTCCCTTTCCCACACTCACCCCCTCCTCTTCCCCCATTACCACCCTCCCTTTCCCCCACGCTGACCCTTCCTCCCCGAGGTGCCAACCCGTTCCTCCACGCCAACTCTCCCTTGCCCTCTCGTCAACCATTCCTTTCACCACGTCGTTGCTCTACACTTCCCCCTCCTGTCGCCTTCACTCCCATTCTCACTCTCTCCCCCCCTGCTCACGGGATTCCGAGCCCTCACTCCCATTCCCCCTGCTCACTCTCTTTCCCCCCCGTCTCACCCATTTTCCCCCTCCTGGGACTATTTCCCCCACTTTCTCGGCCTAATATTGCCCTGCACACTCCCTTGCACCTTGCTCACTCTCTCCCCTTCTGCTCACACCCTTTTCCCCTGTACTCGGGGGATCTCACCCCCCTCTTCACTCTCCATTCTCATTCCCCTTCGCTCACCCCTTTCCCACCTCCAACTCCTCTCATTTTCCCTTTGCGCACTCCCTTCTCCACCCTGCTCTCTCTGTTTCCCCTTTTGCTAATCCCTCTGCCTCGTCCACTCCTCCCATGCATGCCCTTCTTTACCTCCACCTCCACCCCTTGCTCATTCTGTCATACGTTCTCCCCTATTGGTTCCCTTCGCTTGCCATCATTCCGTTCCCTTCACCTGCCTTCAACTCCCATCTGCTCTCCCTCGAATACACCTCCTCCTTTCCCTCCTCGGTTCAGTTCCCATTACCCCCTTACCCTTCCCTTCTCCCCCACGCCAGTCCTCCCCTTCCCCCACTCCAACCCCTCTATACCCCTTCGCTAGTCCTCCCCGTAAGGTAAGGGCCTTACGTTCACTGTGCTACCCTGCCCCGTCCTCCCTTCTCACAGCTACCCTGGTCATTCTCCCATCCCTGATTCACTTGCGCTAACGCCTCCTGCACCGATGCTCCCCTTTATCCCACTCCCACCATCTCTTTTCCACCCCCACCTCCCCCCCTTCTCCCGCAGTCGCTGGTGCACTTTGGCCGGCTGTGAGAGTGGGTTAAGCAGCATCACCAGCGCCTCTGCCGGAAGGCTCCTCGCCTTCCGACGCTTGCTCTCCACCAACTCCGCCTGGACCGCCATAACCCACCACCCGTCCTCTCCCTCCGCCTCATCTCCTTCCTCCTCTCACTCCTCCTCCTCTTCCTCCTCGCCCCTCACTCATCTTGTTCTCTCTGGTGTCTCAATCGCTCCTCCCTCATCCCTCCCCCCTAGACACCTCCCTAGCCATCTTCACCCACCTCGACCTCTCCCACTCGCGCGGCGCCACACTTCCTCCTCCTCCGCACCTCACCACCCTCCACCGCACTCCACTCCTCCAGGCCCTCACACCCCGCCCTGCGGCTAGCAGTGGTTACAAGCAGCAGGATCCATCACACACCTCCACCTCTACCCTGCTCCTGTCTCTGACACCCATGTGTTTCACCTCGCCAACTCCCGTCCCCACACGGTATGCCAGCTCCTCCCCACTCTCTACCGCACTCTACTCCCCCTTCACGCACTCACAACCCGCCCTGCGACCTGAAGTGGTTACAAGCACCAGTATCACCCTCACACACCTCGATCTCTCCGGCTCACTCTGTCTCCCCTTCTCACTCTCCTCCCCCCCGGCTCACTTTGTTTCCGCGCACGCTACCAACCCCTGCCCCATTACCCTCTCTCTCGCTCCCATTTCCTTCCCCAACAAACACCCGCCCCAGCCCCCTCTCCCCCGCGTCCAGTCCCCCACTGCCTCCAACCTTACCCCCACTCCCCCACGCCCATTCCCTCACCCCCCTCGTTCTTTCCCCGACTCCCCCCCGTGTCCTTAGGAACACTGCCACCCGTCCATTCCCCCATTCCTCCCCGTCCAATACCCCACTCACTCCGTACTTTTCCCACACAATAACCCGCCCTTTCCCCAACGCCAACGCTCAGCTTCCCCCACTTACACCCTCCATTTCACCCGCACCTACCCACTCCCCTCCCCCACTCCACCTCGTCCTTCCTTCCGTCCAATCCCCATCTACTCCCCATCCACCCTCCTATGCTACCCATGTCATCCTCTATTCCCCTATCAACACATGACATCCTCTCTCCCCCCTGCTACCCATGTCATCCTCTATTCCCCTATCAACACATGACATCCTCTCTCCCCCCTGCTACCCATGGCATCCTCTATTCCCCTATCAACACATGACATCCTCTCTCCCCCCTGCTACCCATGTCATCCTCTATTCCCCTATCAACACATGACATCCTCTCTCCCCCCTGCTACCCATGTCATCCTCTATTCCCCTATCAACACATGACATCCTCTCTCCCCCCTGCTACCCATGTCATCCTCTATTCCCCTATCAACACATGACATCCTCTCTCCCCCCTGCTACCCATGTCATCCTCTATTCCCCTATCAACACATGACATCCTCTCTCCCCCCTGCTACCCATGTCATCCTCTATTCCCCTATCAACACATGACATCCTCTCTCCCCCCTGCTACCCATGTCATCCTCTATTCCTCTATCAACACATGACATCCTCTCTCCCCCCTGCTACCCATGTCATCCTCTATTCCTCTATCAACACATGACATCCTCTGTCTCCGTAGGGGATGTATGGCGCAGGGGTAGGGTGCTTACTCGAATGTTTGTAGAGTCGTTTCTAACGTTGCGAAGGCGACACGCGGGAGTAGAGGGGGAGGGAGAGGAAATAGGGACAAGTTCAGGGTTGATGGGGTCTCAAGCGGTGGCTGAGGGAGACGATGATGGGGAAGGTGTATGGCCAAGTGTGGCCATATCTCCTGCACCCTTTGTCCACTCCACTCTCACACACCACTGCCCCTCTGACCATTTTATCACTCACACACCCCAGCTCCATCTGTCCACCGCACACGCTGTCCTCTCTAAAGCGCTGTCATGGCTAAACTCCAATATCCTACAGCTCACAATGTCCTCCCTTCACTCTCCACCCGTGACCCTTCTCTGTCCTGCCCGGATTATGTCCTCCGCTCAACCCGCCTTGCCCTCAGCGACACCTTGGCCTTGCGCCATGACAAGCATTCGCGTCCCCACCACTCTCATTCTACGTGTATTGACACTGAGGGAAGAAGAGAGGGAGGCTGAAGAGGAGGGGAGTACCGTCATCACTCGGATATAAGACAGTGTTGAATAGTAGACAGGGGTTGTCTACTATACGGGTGTCTCTTATAAACAGGCTAGCCTCATTATAAAACACCTATTTGTGTGTACGAGATAAGACATATATGTCTTATAATCGAAACTTCAATAAATTATAGCGAAAGTTGAAATACCGCGTACATTTTTACCCTTGCGAAGCGCGAATTCTTCCACGCGCTGACCCAGGACCTACCAAATTTGCCCCTGCAGGTGTTCTCCATAACGTGGCGTCCCGGGCAGAGGTTGTCGAAGTGGCACCTTCGCAACATCCACACTCATTATGAGAAACTCTTTTTCAAGAAGTACGGAAAATATTTCTAAGTAGTTTAAAAAGTTTCCATTTATAAGACTTATAAGACACCCTAAACCATCCCGTTTACAAGATAACTCAAGCATTTTTGCCCGTGTACGAGATAAGACATATATGTCTTATATCCGGGCGATGACGGTAGTAATAGGAAGAGGAGGATGAAGCAGGAGGAAGGGGGAGCGAGGTTGTGGAAGTTCATGTATAGCTCTGTAATACTACCATTGTAGCACTGTGATCACAACTGTGGCATTGGCAGTGTGCGTTTGCTTGCAGTGGATCTGTAACCGGCGATCATTGATCATTCCATTGATACATCAATGCGTAAGGCATTGATTGGTATGGAAACCGTGGGAGTTCCAAAGTTGCAATCAAGTGGCAAAGTACAGTTATTTATACGCTTCACTTGAAGGGACGCACACAGTTGAAATCATAAGCGCGATGCTGATGGTTGCAAACGTAGCAAATGAAGACTATGCCAGTCAAGGGCCCTGTAGTCAGTGGGAGTGGCGCTCGTCCAAAACACCACAAAGCAATCCCTACTGTTACACTAGCCCTGCTCGGGACAACATATGGCCTACTCAACAGTCGAGACTAAGAAACACATAGCGTTCGCATATGGGGGGAGTGCGGATGCGGCCCTCCATTGGAACGCCACCGTGTAGGGTGTGAGCCTCCATGCGCTTCACACTGGAAGAAGTGGAGCACGGTGGGGAAAATGAGGGGGAGAAGGGCGAGAAATGATGGGGTGATGGAGGGAGATGAGAGGGGTGCGGGTGCTTTTGCAGGAGAAGGGGGAACCTGATCGTGGGCAAGGGGGAAATGGGAGTGAGAAGGGGGGAGGGGGGGGTTCTTAGGAGCAAGGGGGGAAATGTTAGGGATCAAGGTTGGTATGTGGATGATCGTGGGGGTAAGTGAGATGGAGAAGGGGGGGTATGTCAGTGTGAGCAGGGGGGGGGAACTGCCTGGTAGAAAGGTGGGAGACGAGGGGCGGCAAGGGGGAGAATAAGAGGGCGCAAGGGGGGAAATGAGGGTGAGCAAGGGTGGAAGTGAGGGGGAGCACGGATGGAAGAGAGAAGGAGCAGGGGGGGAAATGACGGGGAGCAAAGGGGGAATAGGAAGGGAGAAGGGCCGTAATGAGAGTGAGACGAGGGGGAAATGAGAGAGAGCAAGGCGGGAAACGATGTTGAGTAGTGGGGGGGCTGAGAGGGAGCACGGGGGGAAATGAGAGGGTGGAAGGGTGGAAGTGAGAGGCGGCTAGGGTGGTAATGAGGTGGAGAAATGGGGTAGTGTTAAGGATCAGGGGGGGAAATGAAGGTGAGCAGTGGGGTTAATGAGAGGGAGTAGGGGGGAAATGAGGGCGAGAAGGGGGCGGGCAGAGATGGAGCAAGGTTAGAAATGAGGAGGGCTAGGTGGGGCAGTGTGAGCCCAAAGGGGGGGATATGAGATGGATAAGGGGGGGACATGTGGGGGAGAAGGTGGGGAAATGAATGGGAGCAAGGGAGGGAAATGGTGGTGACAAGGGGGGGTTCGGGGGCGGCTGATAGGGAGCTACGGGGGGAATTGAGACGGAGAAAGTGGGAAATGATTGGGAGTATGGGGCAAACTGAGAGCGATAATAGGGGGTATTGAGGAACGTAAGGGTAGATAAAGGAGGGAGAGAATGAAAGGGGCAGGACGGGGGGGGGGGGGGAGGATGATTGGGGGAGCCCGAGGGTGTGAGAATGAAATGGGCAGGTCACTGGAGGGAGAACGATAGGGGGGAGAATGGTAGGGGGGGGGGGAGAATGATAGGGGGAGCTCTATGGGGAGAGAATGGTAGGGGGGAGTTCTATGGGGGGGGAATGATAGGGGGAGCTCGATTGGGGGAGCATGATAGGGGGAGCTGGAAGGGGGGACAATGATAGGGAGAGCTCGATGGGGGGAGAGAGTAAAGGGAAGGTTCATGGGGGGAGAATGATGGGGGGAGCTCTATGGGGGGGGAATGATGGAGGGAGCACTATGGGAGGAGAATGATGAGGGGGGAGCTCTATGGGGGGAAAAAGGTAGGGTGGAGTTCGATGGGGGGGGGGAATGAGAGGGGGAAATCGATGGGGGGAGATTGATAGGGGGAGCTCGATGGGGGGAGAATGATAGGGGGAGCTCGATGGGGGGAGAACGATAACGGGGGCTCGATGGGGGAGAGTGGTAGGGGGGAGTTCGATGGGTGGGGGGGGTGCTAGCTGCTGGTCGATTGGGGGAGCATGATAGGGGGAGCTAGAAGGGGGGACCATGATAGGGGGAAATGAGAGAGAGCAAGGCGGGAAATGATGGTGAGTAGTGGGGGGGCTGAGAGGGAGCACGGGGGGAAATGAGAGGGTGGACGGGGGGAGCTCTATGGGGGGAGAATGATGGGGGGAGGTCGATGGGAGGATGCTGGTGGGGGGAGTTCGATGGGGGGAGAACGATCGTGGGAGCTCTATGGGGGGAGAACGGTATGGGAGAGTTCGATGGGGAGGGAATGATAGGGGGAGGTCGGTGGGGAGGGGAAATGATAGGGGGAGCTCGATGGGGGGGGTAAATGATAGGGGGAGTTCGACGGGGGGAGCATGATAGGGGGAGCTCTATGGGGGGAGAGTGGTAAGGGGGGGGTTCGATGGGGGGGGGGGGGATGATGGGAGGAGCTCGATTGGGGGAGCATGATAGGGGGAGCCAGTAGGGGGGACCATGATAGGGGGAGCTCGATGGGGGGAGAGAGTAAAGGGAGGGTCGATGGGGGGAGAATGAAAAGGGGTGCTGGATGGGGGGGGAGAGTATATGGGAGGTCGATGGGGGGAGAATGATGGGGGGAGCTCTATTGGAGGAGAATGATGGGGGGAGCTCTATGGGAGGAGAATGATGGGGGGAGGTCGATGGGAGAACGGATGGGTGGAGCTCTATGGAGGGAGAATGATGGGGGGAGGTCGAAAAAGGAGAACATCGTGCATTTTGCAGAAAAGGAGCTTATGGGGGGAGAATGGTAGGGGGGAGTTCGAGGGGAGGGAGAATGATGGGGGGAGCTCTATGGGCCGAGAATGATTGGGGGAGCTGGATGGGGGGGGAGAGGAAAGGGGAGGTTGATGGGGGGAGAACGACGGGGGGAGCTCGATGGGGGGGAGAGAGCGAGGGGGGGGCTGGATGGGGGGAGAATGATGGGGGGAGCTCGATGCGCGCCAAAAGCAAGGGAGTGCGCATGTCGGAGAGAATGAATGGGGAGTTCGAGGGAGGGTGAATGTAAGGGGGAGAACGAGGGAGGTTGATAGAAAGGGGGAGGTAGAGAGAGGGTATGAGAGGGGAACCTTGAGGGAGGTTGAATTCAATGGGGATGTCGAGGGAGGGAGAGAGATAGAGGGCGCTCTTGTTTGATTGAATGGAGGGAGCAGCTCGAAGAAGGAAGAAAGGCAGGGGGAGATTGAGGACGAGAGAATGAAAGGGGGCTATCCAGGGTTGGCGCATGAGAGGGCGAGTCTGTGGTGGAGCTCACCGTTGCGATTGCCCTTGGGACGATTCCTTCAGTGCCGCTTCTCTCCTTTTCCGTTGTGCAATCTGCGATTGTAGTGGGGTGATAGTGTAAGGCGAATGAGGCAGCGGGAGTGCGGATTTCGTGGACGTTAACGCGTCGTTGCTATAGGGTCGATTCATCGCCACGAATGTCGCGGGTGAATGGGGCAGGGCGAATGCCGCCAATGCGGCACGGTTTTCCAAATGCGGAAACCCTAACCGTGATGGCGCTTATGCGGCGATCCGAATGCGTGGGTGCTGCTGTGGCGTAGAGATTGCGACGGAACATTTGAGCGCGGCGCGTGTGCAAGGTAAAAGAGCGGGAGATTGTGTACGAGACGTTTCATTGGTGGAGGTTGACATTGTAACTTCCTTTCTGCTACGCTAATCGTGGCCTTCGTGGGACATGGTGTTACTCCTCGTTCCCCTAGGGCCTTTTCGTTATAGAACGAGTCCACCGGGCGAAAGGCATGAACGGGACTGCCGTAGGCTGTCGATTTTCGAGAATATTACCCCTATTTCTAAGGTTATTCGAGTTTCGACACTGATTTATGGCTACCCGGTTCACTTCCACCAGGCCTTTCCCTAAATCCGCCCATACGGGATGCGCCGCTTTATGTGATTGGCGCGTGGTGAAAGTCCCGCCGTAGCGACCGTGTGATCCGTTCCACAGTCCGCCGGTTGAAAATGTCGACTAATCAGACTCTCTAATACGTGTATCTTCTGTGTGACGGCCTTTGCGCGACCTTACCGTGCGGTATAGAGGCCAAGCGGCGAGTGATTAGAGGCTAATAGTTGGTCGTAGAACTCGGGAAAAACGTGGGGCATTTTGGGACAGGTTTTCTGTGCCTATGTGCTGCTGTACTCGAATGTTGGATTCCTGCGACAGTTTGTTGTTGGGCGACAGATTAGGATTGGACGATGTTCCCGTGCGAGGCTAGGAAATGCCTCAGCTTTGTTGCTACAGCAATTTTTTTCGCCAGTGGGTCCTGGCTTCCCTCTCTCGTGTTTGAAGTTGGCTCTGTTGGACACAGGGTTACACCCAACCAACCTTAGGAAGGATGAACCAATTTCGCCCTTCTTGACCCACGGGTTTTAACATAACGCTCTTCAACCAAATGCTCAGCTTCTCCGTGACGAAGAAATTCATCACTCTCGGCGAAATCGGCCGCTTCCGCAAGCACCGCTTTGAATCTTGCAAGAAGAACGATCCCGAGCTCAGTTTCGACACGAATCGCCAAGATGTGGCGCTCTCCGAAGCGGCAGCGCTGGCAGGGGTGTTCGGCGGAAGGGTCCGCGCTTACGCTGTTCCGATAAGCTACCTCAAGTCGTTTCTCCGTGACGAACGCTATCCGAGCGGCTTCAAGCCGCCGGTTGTTCCGTTGAGCTTCCCTGAGCTGCTCGCCGTGTCGGCGCACATCAAGCTCGCCGCGTCTTTGGCTTAGGAAGCTGTAAAGTATCTCGAAAATCTGGGAAGTGCCAGACTTCCAGCACATCCCAAGAAGATACATGGTATTATCGTAGGTGCAGGAGTAAAGTGTAGCCAGTTTTTTGCCAACATGCTGGTTGTTAGTTTACCATCAATGACAGATTCGTCTTGAAAATACAACGATCAAATGATTAAATTATCAGCTAGCAACAGCTTTAGGACAAACTGCATTACTAAAAAAAAACTGGCTTCCACACCTTCCAGATGCACATGAAACTTCACAACTTGACCCCTCCTGGCCATTTTTTACTTCTGCCACCAATCCTACACCAACAGATACGGTACCCACCTGGCATTTTCTCATTTGGTACTACTGGATGCCTATTGGCTATGGTACATCCGTGAGGTTACTGCTGCGAGTGTCTCTGCTACTGCTGGTGTCTGTGTCTCAGCTCCTCAGGCGTACTTTGACCCTGCTCTGCTGCCACCTGGTACTCTCCCACAACCCCGTTTCCCACCCCACCCCCCCCCCTTCTTTTTCCCCTTCCCCTTCCCCTCCCCACTGTCATCGCTACCAGCAGCCCCATGAGCCGACCTCTCCACGTCAGCACCGCCACTCGCGCCGTGATTGGTCACCAGCGGTGCACCGGCGCACATGTGGCGTGCCATGGTGGAGAGCCGCGTCAACCTTCGCCGTCTCTCTCGGCGCTCGATCTCCTGCACCACCTCATGGTCTCCCGGGCATACATGCCTGGAAGGAGACACAGGAGAAAGTGGGGTGAAAAGGACTTTTGAGACATCTCAAAAGCAGCCGCCGCCTCCTCTCTCTGCGCTCAATCTCCTGCACCACCTCGTGGTCACCCGGACATACATGCCTGGAAGGAGACACGGGAGAAAGTGGGGTAAAAAGGACTTTTGAGACATCTCAAAAGCAGCCGCCGCCTCCTCTCTCTGCGCTCGATCTCCTGCACCACCTCGTTGTCGCCCGGGCATACATGCCTGGAAGGAGACACGGGAGAAAGTGGGGTGAAAGGGGAAGAGAGAGTGAGCATCAGGGATGAAAGAGTTGAGAGTGCTCGAGGCGCCACAGTATGGATCTCGACAATTCCCACTGCTTCCCTTGTCACTTGATCCACTGCACCAGCTGCTCGATTCCTGGACACACATGGCTGGGGACGACGGAGAGCAGAATGCGGTGCGAGACTGAGCAGACAATACGAGGCATCAAGGCTGCCCATCCCTCCCATCCCGGCCCAGCGCCCCAAAGCCTCACCTCCAGATCCCCCGGATAGCGTAAGAGGGCAGCATGGCGGCGATGACAGCGAGCAGCAGGTTGAGCCAGAAGGGCCCCCGTCCCCCCCACCCGCTCTTTCCCCTTCCCCACCTCCCATCCCGGCCCAGCGCCCCCAAGCCTCACCTCCAGATCCCGCGGATAGCGTAGGACGGCAGCATGGCGGCCACGACAGCGAGCAGCAGGCTGCAACACAAGGGCCCCCGTCCCCCCCATCCGCTCCTTCCCCTTCCACACCTCCCAATCCCACCCCAGCAACCCCACACTCACCTCCAGATCCCGCGAATAGCGTAGGAGGGCAGCATGGCGGCGATGACAGCGAGCAGCAGCCTGCAACACACCAACCACCCAATCCCACCCCAACGCCCCAAAGCCTCACCTCCAGATCCCCCGGATGGCGTAGGAAAGCAGCATGGCGGCCACGACGGCGAGCAGCAGGCTGCAGCACAAGGGCCCCCGTCCCCCCCATCCGCTCTTTCCCCTTCCCCACTTCCCAATCCCACCCCAGCACCCCCACACTCACCTCCAGATCCCTCGGATGGCGTAGGACGGCAGCATGGCGGCGACGACGGCGAGCAGCAGCCTGCAACACCCCAGCACCCCCACACTCACCTCCAGATCCCGCGGATAGCGTAGGAGGGCAGCATGGCGGCGACGACGGCGAGCAGCAGCCTGCAACACCCCAGCACCCCCACACTCACCTCCAGATCCCGCGGATAGCGTAGGAGGGCAGCATGGCGGCGACGACGGCGAGCAGCAGGTTGAGCCAGAAGCTGGCGGCGGGCAGCAGCTGCCCGGCCACGCCCACCAGATTGCCCACCCACTTGGCGGGCATGTAGCTGCCGACCGTCATGAGGAGGAAGAAGAAGAGGATGGACCCGAATATCGTGATGAAGTGCAGCGCGTTCCAATACTGTTGAGGGGAAGGCAAATGTAAGGGGACGGAGAGGGGGGGGAGAGGGAGGAGAGGGGGAGGGGGAAAGAGAGGAAAGCAAGGACGAAAGGGAGTGCATTTGCATGTTAATGGTTGTGTGGCCAGGAGACATGCGTTTTGAAAACGTTGGTATGATGTTTGGCTGGGAGGGCAGGGATGAAGGAAAGCGGGAGAAACTAGAAGGCGAGGAAGTGCAAGCGGTTTGGAAGGCTGGTAGTACGGAGGTATGTGAGCCCCACAGCACTCACTTCCACAGACATGCTGCTGCCATCACATACAGATCCCTCCACACACTCCCTCACGTACACAGCACGGCAACACCAAGGCACCCAATGCCTCACCTGCACGTTGGAGCTGAGCTCAAGGTTGACGGTGGTGACAACAGCAGCATACATGATGAGTTCGCTGCTGCGGTCCTGCCCACTCATGCCCACACACACACAGTATGCTGCTATCTCACCTGCACGTTGGAGCCGAGTTCAAGGTTGACGGTGGTGACGACAGCAGCATACATGATGGTGCCCACGGCCGTGAGGTCCAGGGTGAGCCCGGTGGGGCGGTCGGGCACGAGGGCGAAGGGCAGCAGCGTGAGCGTGAAGAGGATGGCCGCCTGCACCAGCCCGTTCACCATCCAGCTCGCCACACTCACCACTGAGAAGTACTCGTTGCGCTGGCCCTGGGGGGCAGGGCAGGTGGGGAGGTGGTGCAGGGAGTGTGCTTTGAGGGAAGCGCATACCGGCCATTCAGCCCGTTCACCATCCAGCTCGCCACACTCAGTTCTGAGAAGTACTCGTTGCGTTGGCCCTGTGCGGCAGGGGAGACGGCGGGGAGAGCGAGAGAGGAAGGGTTAGCCCTCTGCCTTAGTCTTAGCCCTCTGCCCCTCCTTGCTGCCCAAAATAGTGCCACCTGTGAAGGGCAGGAAGCTTAAATGTGTTGGTTTGATCACCCCACATGGGTGTGTTGGTTTGATCACCCCACATGGGTGTGTTGGTTTGATCACCCCACATGGGTGTGTTGGTTTGATCACCCCACATGGGTGTGTTGGTTTGATCACCCCACATGGGTGTGTTGGTTTGATCACCCCACATGGGTGTGTTGGTTTAATCACCCCACATGGGTGTGTTGGTTTGATCACCCCACATGGGTGTGTTGGTTTGATCACCCCACATGGGTGTGTTGGTTTGATCGCCCCACATGGGTGTGTTGGTTTGATCACCCCACATGGGTGTGTTGGTTTGATCACCCCACATGGGTGTGTTGGTTTGATCGCCCCACATGGGTGTGTTGGTTTGATCACCCCACATGGGTGTGTTGGTTTGATCACCCCACATGGGTGTGTTGGTTTGATCGCCCCACATGGGTGTGTTGGTTTGATCGCCCCACATGGGTGTGTTGGTTTGATCACCCCACATGGGTGTGTTGGTTTGATCACCCCACATGGGTGTGTTGGTTTGATCACCCCACATGGGTGTGTTGGTTTGATCACCCCACATGGGTGTGTTGGTTTGATCACCCCACATGGGTGTGTTGGTTTGATCGCCCCACATGGGTGTGTTGGTTTGATCGCCCCACATGGGTGTGTTGGTTTGATCGCCCCACATGGGGGTGTTGGTTTGATCGCCCCACATGGGTGTGTTGGTTTGATCGCCCCACATGGGTGTGTTGGTTTGATCGCCCCACATGGGGGTGTTGGTTTGATCACCCCACATGGGTGTGTTGGTTTGATCGCCCCACATGGGGGTGTTGGTTTGATCACCCCACATGGGTGTGTTGGTTTGATCACCCCACATGGGTGTGTTGGCCCAGCCACCCCAAGTGGCCACCCACTACCTCGTCTAGGTGGTTAGGTTGTGGTGTGGTGTGCAGGGAGCAAGGAAGCACGGCACACCTACCCACACAGCTGCCCCGCACGCCGTGAAGCACCCACCTGCTTGTAGAGCTGTGGGTAGCGCAGGCGGTAGACGGGCTTGACGTCCTGGTCCATGACTCCCACCACGCCGATGGGCAGCGAGGTGAAGAAGACCATGAAGAGCGTGAGGTACCAGTCGTAGTACACCGCTGTGCCGGAGAAGTATGCGAGGCAGTTGTAGAAGAGGATGGTGAACGCAAACACAAAACACTTGTAGAAGAAATAGGTTATCTGCGTGGAGGGGCGAGGTGGGATGGGGTGGGATGGGGTGGGATGAAACGGGATGGGATACGAAGGGGAATACTTGTAGAAGAAGTAGGTATGCGCAGATGGATGGTGTGGGATGGTGTGGGATGGTGTGGGATGGCATGGGATGGTGTGGGATGGCATGGGATGGTGTGGGATGGCATGGGATGGCATGGGAGAGCGCGGGATGGCACGGGATGGCATGGGATAGCGCGGGATGGCATGGGATGGCATGGGATAGCGCGGGATGGCATGGGATGGCATGGGATGGCATGGGATAGCGCGGGATGGCATGGGATGGCATGGGAAGGCATGGGATGGCATGGGATAGCGCGGGATGGCACGGGATGGCATGGGATAGCGCGGGGTGGCATGGGATGGCAAGGGATAGCGCGGGCGGGATGGCATGGGACGGCATGGGATAGCGTGGGATGGCGCGGGATGGCATGGGATGGCATGGGATAGCGCGGGATGGCATGCGATGGCATGCGATGGCATGGGATGGCATGGGATGGCATGGGATGGCGTGGGATGCGCACTGACCAGAATGCAGATGCGCTTGTAGCACCATCCCCCGTGCACCAACAGCAGCCTCTCCAGGAATCTGAACTGGCCAATGGCAAAGTCTGACGCCATGACAGCCTGGCCGTGGGAGACACGCAGGTGGGCAGCACAGCCAACATGTGGGGCGATGAACGGGCGATGAATGCTGGTGCAGGGAGACACAATGGGTGTGGTGCAATGGCTGTCACAGTCAAGGCAGCCATGCCATGCTGTAGCGTGCATTCTGCATTTGTTATTCCTCCGTGCCACAAGTCTAGCGCCCTACCCCTCACATCCCCATTTCTAATGTGCCCCAAATACACTCACTCACATACGGGCCAGGAAACCACTCTATCTCCCCTAGCTGTCTACCTCCCCGTACCCTGCTGCACCTGCTGCCAGTCGCCCCCCTGAATCCCAATGCTACTGCTTCCCTTCTGAACCATGCCCATGTCACTCACACCCACACCAATCATGCCCGTACACCCCAATGTCCGTATTCCGCCAACAAACCATTCCCCTCACCTGCTGCCCGCGCCTCACCTGCTGCCCTCGCCTCACCTGCTCCCCTCGCCTCACCTGCTGCCCCTCCTCCCCGCGGATGCCCACGCCGATATTCGCCTTCTGGATCGTCCCCACGTCATTTGCACCATCTCCAATGGCGAGACAGATCTGCCTGCCCTTGCGACTTTTGAGGCGCCTCAAAACTCACCTGCTGCCCCTCCTCCCCGCGGATGCCCACGCCGATATTCGCCTTCTGGATCATGCCCACGTCGTTGGCGCCGTCCCCAATGGCGAGGCAGATCTGCTTGCCCTCGCGCCGCACCATGGCCGTCACCTGCGCCTTCTGCTTCGGCGACACGCGGCAGCAGATCACCGACGCGCACTGCAGCGCCAGCTCCAAAAAGGCAGCGCGCAGGGCATCATCTGCCAGTACAAGCGCCAGTGCCTTGCCATCGATCACCACTGCATGCTCCTGTGCCGCCCCACCCTCGCTCCCACTCTCACTCCCACTCCCTCCCTCGCCCTCGCTCCCGCCCTCACTTCCGCCCCCGTCGTCGCGGTGTTCCTGCGCAGGGATATCGGCGCGGTTGCTGGTTCTCCCACTGGAATCTGTGCTGTCTGCCTGCGGTGCGCCTGGCCACTGTGCGCCGTGCACGGACTCACTGGCTGCCAGGATCTGCGAGCGCACCAACTCCGCTGCAAACTGCAGCGCACGGAAAGCAGGGGGCGGGGGGGCGCGAAAGGGTGTCGGGGAGGGAGGGGGGGGTGGGAAGTGAGAAGGCGTTGAGGGGAGGGAGTGGCTTATCAATCAGTGCGTCAGAGCTGCCAAGAGTCGAGCACGCACCAGAAAGGGTGGGGGGGGGGGAGGGGGGAAATGGGTGCGGGAGGCAGGAGCGTGGAAGGGATGGGTGTGGCGGAGCGGGAAGTGTGTAGAAGTAAACTTCCGGTTATGGCAGAGGAAGAGACGAGACGATTGCTCTGTGACGGAGAGAATTATCCAAGGCAAGTGGCAGGAGCATTTGGACCGACCCAGTGGCAGAGCCACAAGCCCCTTAGTGAGCACGGCATAGCACAGCAGCGGTGGCACTCACCTCCTTGAGCGGCACGCCCCTTCTGGCAGCCTCCTTGGCGGCAGCATCATTGTCCTCGAGGAACACGAGGTGCTGCTGCATGTGGTGGCGCAGCAGGCTGCACAGCACCGCACCGCACAGAACCGCACTGCACCGGCACTCACCTCCTTGAGCGGCACGCCCCTTCTAGCAGCCTCCTTGGCAGCGGCATCATTGTCCTCGAGGAAGACGAAGTGCTGCTGCATGTGGTGGCGCAGCAGGCTGCACGCAAACCCGATGTTGATCGCCGTCTCCAGCTTGTCCCCTGTCAGCACCCACAGCTTTATCCCCGCCACCGCCAACGCCTCTATGGCCTGTGGTACTCCCACCTGGTGAGGGCACGGGGGGCATGAGGACAGGGCAGGTGATTTGGTAGCAGCAGGGAAGCCGATGTTGATGGCTGTCTCCAGCTTGTCCCCTGTCAGCACCCACAGCTTTATCCCCGCCTGCGCTAACGCCTCTATGGCCTGTGGTACTCCCACCTGGTGAGGGCATGGGGGCGAGTGAGGAGTGGGCAGGCGAGGATGAGAGGGGCCAGCAGGGGAACGGGGGGAGAGGGGCATGAGAGGATGTGGAAAAGGGGAGGGAGGCAGTGACTTGAAGGTTGGTGGCGTGTGGACGGAGCCAAGCAAGGTTCAAAAATACGGTCGTTTTTTTTTAATTGCTCTACGATTTCTCACAGGAGCCTATTATACAAAACCGTTTTTAACCGTAACTTTTCAAAAAACGACCGTATTTTTTAACCTTGGAGCCAAGTGAGAGGGCAGCTGTGAGGCACAGCTTTTCACACATCGACTGCAGCGAGCCCCCACTTAGCACCTCGCCCCACCTATTCCCTCCCCCGTCTGCGGTCCCCCGCACCTGTTGCCCCGCTCCCCCTTCACCTGCAGCTTGTCCTCAATGGCAGTGGCGCCCACCAGTACCAGCTCGCTTTCCAGCTGTAGCTTGTCCCCACCTGCCCCCCTCCCACCTACCCCTTGCCCCATCTGCCCCCCACCCTCGCACCTGCAGTTTGTCCTCAATGGCAGTGGCGCCCACGAGCACGAGTCCACTCTCCAGTTCATCAGCCAGCGCCTCCAGCCGCTCCACCTGCACACATGTGCAGCCACCCCCCCTCTTCTCTCACCTGCAGCTTATCTTCAATAGCAGTAGCCCCTACGAGCACGAGTCCGCTCTCCAGTTCATCAGCCAGTGCCTCCAGGCGCTCCACCTGCAGCTCGCCCCCCCAGCACCCCACACCCCTCACCTGCAGCTTATCTTCAATAGCAGTAGCCCCCACCAGCACCAGTCCACTCTCCAGTTCATCCGCCAGTGCCTCCAGCCGCTCCGCCTGCACACCCGCGTCCGCCACGTACCCCTTCGCCTCCACCCACCGCTGCTGCCACGCCGTGTACTCCTCCTCGCCCACCTCCCTCCACGCGATCGCCAGGGTTCTCAGCCCCGCCTCTGCGTACATGGTCATGTGGCGCTCCGTGATTGGTCGGTACTTCTGCGCGTGGGGGTCGGAGGAGAGGCGGTCCATGATGACGTTGTCTGCGCCCTTGCAGAGCAGCAGCAGCCGCCCTTCTGGCGTGCGCACCACCACCGACATGCGCTTGCTGCACGTGGACAGGGGGTGCAAGGGGGGCGGTAGTTGAGGGCGTGGGGGGGCGGGGGACATGCGCTTGCTGCCCGCACAATGGGGGTTGCAAGGGGGCCGCGAAAAACGTGGGGTACGAGGATGGGGGTATAAAAGGGGGGATACAATGCGTGGGGTTCAAGAGGGAGGACAGAAGGAGGGGTGGAAAGGGGGAGGAAAAAGGCGGGGTAAAACGGGGTAGTCAACGGGTGGCATAGAAGCGTTGGGAAAAAGGCCAACGAAAATGGGTGAGAAATAAGGGCGACGGGGACGAGGAAAAAGACGGATAGGGGTTAAGAGGGGAGACGGATAGGGGTTGGGAGGGGAGACGGATAGGGGTTAAGAGGGGAGACGGATAGGGGTTGGGAGGGGAGACGGATAGGGGTTAAGAGGGGAGACGGATAGGGGTTGGGAGGGGAAACGGATAGGGGTTGGGAGGGGAAACGGGGATGGGAGGGGAGACGAGTGGGGGCTGGGAGGGGAGGCGGGGATGGAGAGAAGCAGAAAGATTACAGAGGTGGCACTCACCGGTGGCTGGTGAACTCAAGGGTGTTGAGCAGCTCGTACGACCGGTCCTGCACCACACTCCACCCGGCCCCATACTCGCGCACTTTCAGCTCGTTGCCCTGCCGCCCCAGGAACAGGAACCCCAGGCGCTTCGCCGCCACCACAAACGCCGCCTCGTCTGGCGACTCTGCCAGAAACCTCACCCCCTCCCCATCCCCCGCCTCCCCATCCACCGCCTCCTCCCCTCCCTGTAACAGCGGCGACGGCGTCTCTCCCCCTCCGCTTTCCCCTTCCCCTGGCAGCAGCGGCGTGCCCCCTCCGCCCATCACCCCCGCGCCTGCACTGCCCCCCCCGTTACCTCTCACACTGGATCCCCCACTCGCCAGGCTCACGCTGCTGCTGCTGCTCTGCATCCCGGGACTCGCCCCCACGCCCACCCCGCCTGCACCATTCCCCATACCACCCCCACCCCCCACGCCCGCAGCAGCACTCCCCATGGCAAAGATGTTACTACTCGCAGCGCGCTCAATAGGCGCCGTGTCCACCACAACCGTATGGCACACGGACAGCACCTCTAAGAACCGTCGGATCTCATCTGCACACGGCTGCTCCACCCACTTCATGCCGTCCAGCCGCGGGTCCCGCATGTTGAACCCCTTCTCCAGGGGGCGCTCGGGGAGGTACACCTGGTCGCCGTCGTCCTCGTCTTCTTCTGGGGGAGGGCGGCCTGCGCGCTGGGCGGCGGCCTTCTCGACCTCGGTGACGCCCATGCCGTAGGGCGTGCCGGCGATGGAGCACTTGAAGAACTCCATCTGGTTGCGCGTCAGCGTGCCTGTCTTGTCTGATAGCACCGTGCGCACCTGATGGGCGTCACAAGCACAGGGGCGGGTGGGAAGGCAGGAGGGCGATGGAGCACTTGAAGAACTCCATCTGGTTGCGCGTGAGCGTGCCTGTTTTGTCTGACAGCACCGTGCGCACCTGGTGGGCGAGCCAAACGCAGCGCAGGGGCGGATGGAAAGGCATGCAAAGGGACAGAGGAGATTTGTTGAATTGATCGCGCCCCTCTTGCCTCCTAGCCCGCCCCTCAGCCCATATTCCTCAGTGACAGCTCCTCTTCCGTGGCCCTCCACTCCTTCCATCCCCTGCATTCTCCCTCACCATGCCACCCAGCGCGCCAAGGCTCTCCATGCCACCCACGGCGTCTCACCATGCCGAGTTCCTCGTTGATGTTGGAGGTGCGGGCGAGGGCGGGGATGTCCTTGTCCTCGTAGTACATGTGCAGATCCATCGATATCGTCACCGCCTGCAGCAGCTTCACTATCTCCATCGTCACGTACAGTGATATGGGCACAAAGTAGCCTGGGGGGGGGGAGGGTGGGGGAGGGGGGCATGCGATGGGAGCACATGGTGAGGTAGCGAGGTGAGAGGAGACGGACGAGCGGAGCACATGTGGATGTGGATTTGCAGCATCACGGACGAGCAGAGACATGGGCAGCAAACCTACATGAGAGTGGGGATACGGGGGATGGGTAAGGGGCACAAGGGCGCGCAGCGAGGCGAGAGGATGAGAGGAGAGGGGATGTGAGGCGTGGGGATGAGAGGGGTGGGGATGTGAGGGGTGGGGATGAGAGGGGAGGGGATGTGAGGGGTGGGGATGAGAGGGGTGGGGATGAGAGGGGAGGGGACGAGAGGTGAGGGTACGGGAGGGAGGGAATGAGTGGGGAGGGGATGAGAGAGGAGGAGATGTGAGAGGAGAAGGAATGAGAGGGGATTGGATGAGAGGGGAGGGGATGAGGAGGGGGATGAGAAAGGAGGGGACGAGAAGGGAATGGATGAGAGTGGAAGGAAGGGGATGGAGGGGATGAGAGGGGAGGGAAGGGGATGAGGGGGATGAGAGGGGATGGAGGGGATGGAGGGGATGAGAGGGGATGAGAGGGGATGAGAGGGGAGGGAATGGGATGGAGGGAATGAGAGGGGATGGAGGGGTTGAGAGGGGCAGTGGCAGTGTGCAGCAGCTGCACGATCTCCAGCGTCACGTACAGCGGAGTGGACACCAAGTGGCCTGCAGGGGAGGGAGGATGAGAGGGGAAGGGATGAGAGAGGAGGAGATGGAAGGGCGGGGGATGAGGGGGGAAGGATGTGCGAGGAGAAGGGATGAGAGGGGAGGGGATGGAAAAGGGGGAGAGGGTTGAGAGGGGAAGGGATGAGAAGGGAGGGGACTGGAGGGGGAGGGGAGGGGATGAAGGAGACGAGAAGGGAGAGGATGAGAGAGGAGGGTACAAGAGGGAGCAGCAATCGCCATACCATAGAGCACGAGGCACGTGAAAAACTGCAGCACGCCCGCCAGGGCGGGGTTGTCCGCGTTATACTGCGCCTTGTTAAGCCCCGTAAGCTGCGCGTTCTGATCCAGCTCCAGGTACCACATGTACTGCTCCTGGTACGACAGCCGCGCCGCGAAGACCGCGGCGGGGAAGATCGCGAGCGTCAGCATGAGAACGAGCTCGAAAATGATGACGTAATCCAGCCGCCTTTCCACGAAGCTTCGCTTGGACGGCGGATCCGTGGCGTTCATCATGATCTTCGTCTCGCGACCCGAGTACACCACCAGACCCACCGCGAACCGCGTGTTTCTTAACTTGGAGCCGCGGAGGAGAATATTCGTCGGCGAGAGAAAAATAGGCGTCTCCTGAAGGCCCTCGAGGCGCATCTTCCCGGTGAACGTGTAAATCGAGACGTTAGGATGCTCGCACTCCACAGTGCCTCTTAATCTCGCCAGCTGTGACCCGTCGAGAGCGTACGTCTCGTGAAGCGACTGACGCAACTTAAGATTCGTCTCGCCGTCCAAATTCATCGTTTCTACGTAACACGTACCGTCGTCGCTGCTGCTGGCTAAGCAGATCAAATCCGCGGGGAAGTACGTGTCACCTTCTACTTGAACTATGTCGCCGACTCTTAACTCTCTCCATTCTCGCATCGCTTCCGACCCATCCGGAAGAATCACGCGTATTTTCCGCTTATTCGTCTCGTAGTCCGACGCGCCGCGTTTAATATCCTCCCATAGCTCCTTAAGCATGGCGAGGCCGATGACGAAGACGAGAGGCGTAATGGTGGTGATGGGCATGACGGGACTGAGCGGCGTGAGGGAAATGATCGCGTTGAACAGGAAATAGATGTTCGCGACTCGTCTGAACTGCTCGAAGAGGCCTCGCGGAATGAACGTGTACCACGTGTACTTGGTCGTCGCGATCTTGTTGCTGCTGAATCTCGATTCCTTGTTGCTGTCAGCATCGTTAATGTAAAAGAGCCGGTCCTCTCGCTGCTCCGGCTTTTTAAAGAACCTTCTTATTCTGTCGAAGAAGCCCGTCATCTCTGTTGGCACTAGTTGTGTCAGCTACGAGCTTCCCTCAAGAGATTAAAGATGCTCACTGCCTGAAAAGGCAGTTATAGCATTTGCTATGTATGCCGGTAGTGTACCGACATGGTAACTGATGTACCAGCTAGCAGTGACGGACTAATATAATCAAACAAACCTAGCGAAAATGCGTCGAGACCCAGGAACGAAGGTGAGCTGGTACGTAACAACCTTCACCAGTAAAGGACGCCCTCCAGACTAATATGATCTCCTAGTTCGATTCGAAGCGAGCATGGCTGCTCATAGAACCAAACTCGACTGTGTGGTGCCAATTCGTAGTACACGGCTCCATGGTTCGTAGGCAGAGCGGTGGAGCAGAGCGGTGGAGCAGAGCGTCGATAGGCAGATGACCCACCAGACACCCCTTCTGAATGATGGGGTTCAACCTGACAGGCAAAATGGGTCTGGGTGTGGTGTGGAGTGGATGCAGGTGGGGGGGGGATCTTGTACCATGAACAGAACAGAGGAGAGGAGGTGTGCCGTGGAGCGGAGGAGGTGAGATGCTGGTGACGTCAGTGAAGCGAAAGCGTGCTGCTTGCGGTTCGGTCGGCACTGACACACTTGACCAGAGCCGCAACAGAGAATTGTTCGACCTACAATTATCTTTTACTGACTTAACTCCTTTCATGATTGTTATATATGAAAGGCTAAATAAAGAACAGAATTCAGAACCCTAAATTGTTCATACAAGCGACCAACCAACCTCCTCCACACTGTAAGGAAGGGTAAATAATAAGACCAGTCAGCTCCGTCTTAAATTCTACCCTGTGTACGGTAACAAATTGTGATTTCCAATGTTACCAACAGATTCCACTCATCAGTATCCATAAATTCGTCAGAATAATACAGCGGAATGAATTGGACTAGTGGGAATGAGATACAAATGTGAAACCATAAAAGTATTGTACTCTATAAAGAGCACCTCAGTGTAACCTAAAACTAACGACACACCCCCATAGGTTAGGTGAGGGACATCACACGAGCAAGACAAGAAAAAACGCAGGGCTGATCAACTTGTCCAACCACTGAGACAGGTGATAATAAGATCAGTCAACAAAACCAACAGAGCAAGAGATGCAACTCAGGGTGGTAGGACTAGCCAGTCTCTGAGAAAAACGGCCACAAGGCCAGTTCAAGAGTTTATATACATATAAACAACAACACAAACAGAGCAAGAAACAAGAGGCAAGTCTACAACAAACAAGGACCTGTCTGAACACGGCCAAGCTGCATACAGAATCGGCGGTGGTCACCAGGCGGGAGAGACTTGGTGAATATGTCCGCATTGTTGGCCACGAAGGCCACAAAGATCAAGCGTGCCTCTCCGCGTCGCTGCAGCTCTCGCAACAAGAAGTACCGCAGCTAGAAGTGCTTCACTCTAATCTCCTGTCGAGGTTCTCGACACAGGAGGATCATGGCCTTGTCAGCGAACAGGGTCGGTGCAAAGCTAGCCCGCTGACCTAGGTCGATGAGCAAGAAAGTCAGCCAACGGAGCTCCTAAGCAGCCATGGCATCGGCGTAGATCTCAGCCTCAGCACTGGACGAAGCCACAGACGACGCTCGTGTCGACCTCCATGACACAACTCCAGAGCCGAGGCTGAAATAGTAGCCCTGTCTCTTCGTCGCCTGCCCAGGAAGATTCGCTATGCCCGGTAGGTCGCACTGGCTGGCTCCCTCCAAGCACAAGCCCCATGCCTGATGTGGTCGCCAGGTACTTCGCTACCCTCATAGCAGCTATCCAGTGAACGGGACAGTGTACCCCAGTCGCAACGAAGCCAGCAAGGACGCTAAGAGGATAGGCGAGGTCCGGTAGAGTAGACGTCATCAGGTACATGAAGCAACCGTCAAGCTATGCGTACCGGCCACGAGGCTCAACCAGCTCGTCAGGAACCGGAGCAGTGAGCCTATGGTCAATAGCAAGAGGAGTCGGATGAGTAGAGGAGAACTAAAATCCGAACCGCTGAAGGACATGCTGCACCATGTGTGACTAAGCCAGAGCGATGGTGCGCTCTGCTTTGTCCCTGGTGATATGCAATCCAAGATAGCTGCGCAGCTCTCCAAGGTCAGTGCACGTGCATCTCTTCTACAGTCCAGACTTCACTGAAGCCAGAGCAACCCCATATGCAGTAGCAAAGACCAAGTCATCGACGTAAACCAGGATGAAGAACGGAGTCGGCCCATAACGAACGAGCAGTGAAGGGTCGGCGGAAAAGGGGGGAACTCGAGGGAAGGAAGAGTGGTGTGGAAAGTGTCGTGCCACTCACGAGGTGCCTGGCGCAGTCCGTGGACCGGTCGTCTCAGGCTCCACTGGGTCCCAGGTGGGAAAGTGCAAGTGAAGCCAGGTGGACGGCGCAGCCAGATCTCCTCGTGCAGACTGCCCTGGAGGAAGGAAGTGGAAAAGTATAGCGAGTGCAGGTCGTAGTCTCGCTGTGCTGCAACGTGCAGCAGTACCTGAAGAGTGGTCATCTTCGGGGTGGGGGAGAAGGTCTGAAAGAAGTATAATCCCTCACGCTGACTAAAGCCTCTCGCCACGTAGCGCGCATTGAAGACAGGCGGCAATCTAGGCGGCCGCTTCACCTTGAAGATCCACATGTCATCGACTACGTTCGCCCAGGGAGGGGGAACTGCGTCGATGTACATGCCTGTGGATCTCCAAGATGCCATCTCTGAGTCCATGGTTGCTATCCACTGAGAGGCCTACTGTCTCGAAACCGCCTCAGTGTAAGTGCGAGGAGTCGGGATGTTTGGAGCGTCAGGGTCTCCCTCAGGGGCTAGCAACATGGCACAGAGGTGAGGAGCAGCGGCCGCAAGGAACTCCAGCTCAAACTGCCTGCCTTCTAGGACGTCACAGCCAAGGGCAAACTCACCCCCGGCGGACAGAGGACGGGAAGCAGGAGACACCAACTGGGTGGCGCTCCTCGCCCTCTCAATGCCCATTGACAATGGAAACCTCGAGCTCGTCGCCATGGCTGTCCCTCGCCAGCCTGGAACTCGCTCCTTGTGAAGCACATATGTCAGTTGCCTCCACTTTCTACAGCATTGGATTCGCCTTATCTCAACGAAGACAATGGTACACTTTTCGTGTTCATTCAGCGGACATTGTACTATTTGCTTCTTGGGATCTGCTGTTACAGTCAACTCAGGAGTCATTGAATATCCTATCTCGAAGGGAGTTTCCAATGCCTACTCAGTTGGCGCGCTTTCTCGAATGATTGGTTCATACAAGATTACTGCCTATCAGCATTACATCAACATTGTGATCCCAAGGTCCCACCCGCAGCTAAGCAACACTGGTACCAGAAGGAGCGGAAGGCTTGCATTCTGCAAATACTTCACGTGCTCAGACGTCTGGCGCATCAGGCATATCAAGCCTTATTCTACTTCTCACCGCCAGTCTCCAGTCATCATCGCACAATGCGTCGAGCTCCTGCAAAAGGGAAGGGTACGCTAGATGTGCCTGTCCCTCCAGTCGGCACGCCAGCTTCACAGAAGGGCAAAGCTGTTGACTCTGCATTGAACGCACAACCTGGGAAGCAGACAGAGATTAACGTGACGCTTCCGACGGATCCGGTCGCTGGAGGTTCTGGTCTCTCTCTGGAGGAAAAGCTCCAAGCGCTCACATCATCGACTGAGCAGGATGACGCTTTCCTGAAGGATGATTCAAATGAGGAGTTGGACATTGATGTGAAGAAGGAAGCATCCCTGCGTCTGTGCTACACTACAATACTATTGCTTCATTTCCTTCTGCAGAAGGAAATTGTTTCTGTTATCACGACCGTAAAGATGCTGATGAAGCGTGTCTGGTCATCTTACCTGACCGATGGTGCTCACGAAACTGTAAAATTTCAGGGTTGTCGCATCGAGATCTCCTTCCTGCATGAAGCAGACACAACACATATCAAACATGGGATAGTGGATTATCAGCGGCAAAATGGAACGATGGTCCGGCTGTTCTGGCGTCATACGGAAGACCTTTCTTTCCTGCGCGAGAAAGCTACTAACCCCAGGGCCATTGAAGTCATCTTCAAGAAGGTTCCTGCAAGCGTCTCTCCAGATGTACAAAGGGACCTGTTGGTGTTGTACAAGTTGAAAATTTGCAAGCAGACAACGTCCCGCGATGGCAACTGCTTCCACCGAGTGCTCCATCCTGTTACTACTGCAGACACGGTTCTTGTTAAGGGCCTGGTAGTGCCGCACCTGGCGTCATGAGGTTGACCACCCTATGGAGATCGGGAAGAAGTTGCTCATCCACTACCCTTTGCTGTCCTGCAAGGTATGCGGGGGACGACATTATG